CTATAGAGCACTGAATATTGATTTTAAAATTCTTCAGAATGATTGAGCACCAAAGACTCCATCACGGAAAAAACTCATGATTGTTAAGTTCCCTGATAAGCGCGTTACCATTAAATTTATCAAGTCCCTACTCCTTACTGGATCTAGCCAATTTAGAATATGGTACAGCTATCACTGATGACAATTCGTGTATTACTGTCTTATATAAACAAGATAAAACTGTACCGAACATTAACTCACTAGGTGATTTTGTGATACGTGGGCAACATATCGAATATACAAGTATAACCTAGAGTTCCCAATACTTATAAATTGTTAATCGGTAGACATACATTTTGTCTAAGTCAGATATAGAAAAATTTCGATAGAACAGTTCTTACTCATACCGATTTTCCATCGATCATCAACCATGCTAGTGCAGATGCTAAAATTTTTAAAATAAGAAGTCACTAAATTGTTCTGTTAGCAATTAAGACAATGCATAGAAGTTGATCAGTTTTGAAATAAATAATATTCCTCTTTTTCTTGAGGAAAAAAAAGAAACAATTTAAAGCATTTTAATTTTTTTCTGAAAATATAAAAACACATGAGCGTTAGATGCCAAATCACAAAAAAAAAGATTAATCTGTAAAGAATTCTGTATTGATTGTTTTTAATTGATATCTATCATTCAATTGTGATTAGTTGAAGAAAAGAAGCAACCCTGATAAAAAGATATAGAGAGGGAAGGACAAAGTAAACAAGCTTGTTAATTAAACTGTGCATGTGCGTAGTGATAAGTAACACTATTTCTTTTTAAAAACAACAATTTACTGTTTTAGATTTCAATATACAATCTTAATGAACAGTTTTGAACGAAAAATAAACAACAAACAATAAACACCAATCAGCAGATTGTTGTTTACATTCCAGGTGAAATAAAGTATTTGCCATTGGATTTATTCCCTTACTTCAGTGATATTTAACTATATATATATATACTTTCATTACAGAAGTAGAATCATGATTTCAAATTTCGTCTTTAATCGGGTTCAACATATGGATGTATTAAGACTTCAACTGACTCATGATCTTAACCATTGAGATTACTATAATATCCACAAAACCCATCTGATATTAATCAACATATGCTCACTAGTGACTGGCTTCAAGAGGTATATCCTGGGGTTCTAGTGAGAAGTAGTGACCAGTGGAGTTCAACTAGGTCTGTTGATATAGTAACTCACTGAAGACAATGGTGGATGTGTCGCTCAATTTCGTGGATTAGTTGAAGTTAGACATTGATACCGTTGAACGCCGGCTCAGTGGTCTAGTGGTTAAGTGCACGCGCGCGAAACTAGTAGGTCCTGGGTTCGGATCTCGCAGGGGGCGAGGTCGTTGATGCGCACTGCGAGGAGTCCCACGATAGGACGAAACGGCCGTCCAGTGCTTCTAGGTTGTTCATGGTGGTCTAGCTTCAACTGACTCATGATCTTAAGCATTGAAATTACTTTGATTTTACCTACTAAAGCTCTTCGCTACTTTGCTCCTACTTCACGAAAAAAATGTACCATGACGACGAAAATGATTTTTTATTTATTTATTTATTTATGGCTTTATTCAATATTATATTTTGGTACAATATAGAATTCTCAGCACAAAAATATTTCAACAAGTTTCTTTTACAGAACAAAAGAAAAAAAAACGGTTAAAAAAAATTGAAAAAAAAACTGTACAACTTTTCAATTAGAGTCATGTTAAGAATGCAGATTATTGACTAGGTTAACTCTAACAACCTGTTCGTCACAGAGTACATTTGCTAGGTAAGGTACTATGGAACGTTTATACTTTTGCTTGCGTGCTTGGATTTTAATGTAATTTCGTCTCGTTCTACCAGAAGATATACAAGGAGAAAGATATGAGTGAAGGGGATGGTTAGTATCTGATAAAATAACATCTGCCAGGAGTTTGCATGACTTTAGATGTCTATCCACAATCATATTAATTATAGTCTCAAAAGATTCACCACATAACTTGCTAACTGCCTTCAGCGCTCTCCGCAGTACAGCAAAGTCTTTTCTCAAAAGCCCGGGAAAGAATAACGGAGAACAGTACAGAATAATAGGTAATATGCAAGAATTGACAAATTGTAGGAGTAAATGACGAGTGATCCCAAAGGCATGCAACCTCTTAATGTAGTAAGTCAGACGGAGAACTTTCTTCGATAACAATAAAAAACGTGAGAAGACCAAGAGAGATCAGAGGAAAAGGTTACACCAAGATAATTGACCGGCGACACTGTGTTTATCAAAGAGTCGCCAATGGCACAAGCATTATGAGATCTCAAAAAGGTGTTTAAATGCCGATCATGTCTCATGCTAAAGTTAACAGCTTGACATTTAGACGGATTAAGTAGGAGACCATTAACGACAGACCAACTATCAATGCGAGATAAAAACTCGTTCATTTCTATAGGATGTAAAGAGGAAGAGATAGGCATACAAACAGTGAAATCGTCTGCATATTTCACGAAAGTGTTTACTGTGGAAGATGGCAGATCATGCAGAAAAAAAGAGAAAAGAAGAGGTGAAAGAACAGCTCCTTGTGGTACACCTTCATAAGACACTAGAGACTCTGAACACTTTCCTCCAAACACCGTGTACTGTTCCCTTCCAGAGAGGTAGGAACATAGCCAGTTGGTTATCCAGCTGTCAGTGTTGACGCTGATTAACTTGTTAAGTAAACGTTGCCTTGATATAGAATCAAAAGCAGAAGTATAGTCCAGGAAAGCGCATCGAACATACTTCTTACCCTTTTCTAGGTTGAACACTATATTATGATGCAGAACAGCAACAGCATCTAGGGTGCTTCTTTTGCATCTGTAAGCAAACTGATACTGGTCAATGTGCTCTTTCGTCGCAGGCTGAAGTGAAAGTGTCAATAATTTTTCCATTGCTTTGAGGAAGGGTGAAGTTATTGCAATGGGTCTGAATTTCACATTCTTATCACTAGATGGTTTCTTGGGTATAGGGATTATTTTCATCTTTCTCCACATTTTCGGTATGAGATTAGAAGAGAAGGATCTACTAAAGATAGTGATGAATGGATAGCATAGGACGTCAGCACACATTTTGAAAAGGAGGTTTGGGATACCATCAGGTCCCAAACATCGGGATGAATTTAGTGACTGGAGACATATTTGGACATCAGTTTCGGTGAAACTAGGAACACAGCTATTTTTTAAACCCGTGAATAAAGGGAGTATCACATCAGATGATTGACGTAAAAAAGACTTATTTAAGTCACAAACATCCAGCTGGTTATCGGTCCTAATCTGTCTGTCACCTGTAAGTTCTTTAAAGAGTTTCCACATACTTGAAGAGTTTTTACAAGACAAGAGTTTTTGAGCAAACCTAGTGTTGAGACGACGAATTTTGAGGTTTATCAGACCATTTAGCTTACGAACTTCACTAGAGTTTTTCTTTTTGTACATTCTTTCACCCTCCGTAGTCGTTTTAGTTGTGAAGATGTAAGTCGATCAAAACTTACAAAAATAGTTTCAGTGGGACAACAAATATCAAAACAGAATTTAAGGTAACAAGTGATAATATCAGAAGTGATTTCTAGTGAGTCATCTGTAAATAATTCCCAGTTGGTCGTATGAAACATGTCTTTCAGGTTTCGGATATTTACTTCTGAGTAATTCCTATATTTGACTTTCTTGCTTTGATTTAAGAGTGTACTCTTCCCATGCTTTCCATATACTTTAGGTAGAACACGAATTATACAGTGATCCGAGCTAGACAATGGAGCACGTTTACGAGTCACATATATACCTACATCATTAATGAAAACGAAGTCTAAATGAGCATCCAACCGAGTTGGAAAATCTACTAGATTTTGGTGACCTAGCGATGTAAGGAAGCTACAGTCACATGAATTAAAATCACCACATACAACTGAAAGTGAATCACTGAAGGCAGTAACAGCGAACTCAGTGAATTCATCAGCGAAGACAGATAGCGCAGATGATGTGCAGTCTGGGGTCACATAGATATTGGTAACATAAACATATTTGTATTTATTTAGATGTTTTGGACGGCATCTTAGATTTAGACAGTCGATAAAGTCATTTGAAAACTTGAAACACGCAAACGTAGATCGACACCAGTTCACGTTTACAAAAGTAGCTACACCGCCGCCACACCTCTTTTTATCGTTTGATCGATCCTGACGATAAATTTTGAAATCATGTAGGGATACTAGGCAGTCGTCCTGTAAATCGTTTAACCAAGATTCTTGAATTGTGATGACACCACAATTACGATACATATTTTGACTTAGTAGGGATTGAAGATAGTCTATCTTGTTAATTAATGATCGGCAGTTAGAATTGAGCAATTCGGGAATCGATATACGATTAATGTTCATTCTCTTCAACGCATATTGCCAACCACCACGATGTCTTTTATTGTAGGTTTTTGTAACTTGTGCAGCGAAAGGTCGTAGGCTTTTCATAAACGCACCTGTATAGGTTATGCGATTAATGGACATAATGAGAGGTTAAAACAAAATGAAAAAACAGATAACCTGTTAAAATAACTAGATGGCAGAAACAGGTAGCCCAGATATTCAAGCAGGCATTGGTTATGCATGACATTGTACGACGAATCCTCATGGAAAGAAACTCTAAAGGAAATCAAGACGCCGCTGAATCCATATTTGAACCACAAATAATGTCTAGACGATACTTGTGTAATAGTTTATTTAATTATATTTACCTTCGTTCACAACTGAATGACACTGTCAGTCAAGTAGTCATATCAACGTAGAAGCTGGTACGAATAAACATCCATTCAAGTTGCTACACCACGCATATGTCAAAATACATGATAAATGTGCCAACTAAAGTAATCACTTCACTTATGTCTCAAACAATTTAAACAATTAAGCCATGATAATATTACGATTATAAATAATATCGAATGATTTGAGGAAAGAAAACAATTTCAATAGCTTACCAATTTCGACATAACTGACGGTGAACGAACAAAGGTATCCGCTGGTGTTGACTGATCATTGCCATAATTAATACTGTTATTATTGATGAGATTTGCTACAGACGAGAGTTTAGACTGTTGTTGTTGTAAAGTAAGAGAAACTTGAGATTGTATGTATTCTTGTACAAGTTGAGGTAAACTCACACGTAACTACATAGAAAAAAACAACTTGATTGCGTAACATATATGTATATATCGTAGGTCCAGAAATAAGATAAAGGACATACAAGAGAAAAGCATACCCAACAAAAAATGCATTAAATTAACCTATAAACACAACATGCTTGAAATTGATCCTGAGAAATTTCGTAAAAATAAATTTGAAAATAAACATTGTATGCTATCCTAAATGGGATCGATCAATTGACGAAACTGTTGATATTAGCATTTTTTCGAGGAATTCTAGAATTTTAATCCTGTACATAAACCAACGGCTACTTGAACTCAGTAGCCACGTGAGTAACGCGATGGTGTTTGAAGAGAAAGGTATTGGGTTAAAGTCTCGGAGTGAACATCAAATCTGAGATAAAGGTACATCCAGCTGACGAGTCCAAAATAGGTCAGAGCGCGTGTCCCAGATCCTAATGCAACTCACCATCCATCCCTGCTTCAAATATTGTAACTTGATGGCAATATCGAGGTCATCTGTATGGGATGCACGTATGCCAATAAGAAACTGATCAATTGCAGTCCAAAAACATCAATGTTGAGGTTCAAAAAGCAACCAATACAAAAATGAATTAAATTTCACCCCATTTCACAAGTTAATGGCTACCTGAATTCAGTAGCTAAGTGGATAACGCGATGGCGTTTGACAGAGAGGGAGAATCCGACTGAAATACCTTTAAGAATTCATTGTATAAACTTTAATCAAATCGTCCCTTAGTATCAATTGATTAAAAGGAGGGAAATTATAAGAAAGAATCTATCAATGGTAATTTTAGACATTTTATTATATTGTTGCTATGGTTACTGGAATGTAACTACTACTATGTAAAGCGGTTGGAAAATAAAAAATCTCATTCATCAATATTATTAACAAATAAACCAGAGATTTATTTACAAAATGGAATAGGAAAGTTGAAATAAAAAGCACTATGAAATTAATTCATAGTGAAAATTTGTCAAAAAAAGTGGAGTATTGTTGAAAATCAGAGAGTATTAAACTGCTGTCACATCTTTGTTTTCCGAAATCCTAAGTAGTGTGCACTGATGACCATGTTGCTAGTAGTAGGATCACACTCTTTCTGTATGCAAAGGTCAGATTGAAAGCGCTTGATCGCAATGGCCTCTGAAAACAGATTAATGTACGTTACCCGTTAATTATTTTGAATGATTCTGAGAAATCCACGTTGTGTTTACCATTCATCACATGTTTATCTGTCTCACTTGAGAAACCTTAACTTGCTTTCAGACACAACTTACAGGAAATACGTTCCGAAAACCTTATAGATGCCCCATTTTTAGTCCTTTCTATGTACTTGCATGCACACGTACATGTGAATTCGTAAGCACATTTACAGGTGACCTCAGTTTCGTGATCTGCGCTATCTGCTAGTAAACTGTAGTTCCCGCTTCTTATTGCCTTCTGATTTCAAACACTGTTGAGATTTCTATTATAACGGTTATCGAGGTGATTCATTAACGAAGCAAAGCCACTACGTATTCCATGAGCAAATTATACGTCCGACCACTTTAGTTATTTTACAAGTGTCTATAGAGCTATCATGACAGTTCCATGTTTATTACTATCATTAATCGATAAGATTGAAATGTTGAAAGTCGTTGGAAAATTTTGATAAACTTTGTCAATGAATGTTAATAAGTATTAGCTTTTAATTGAACAAAAATTCTTGTTCATTCGTTCCGACTTTATGAAACAATTCGTTATATGTAACCCAATAATTAAATGGATGTTTATGTACTTATGTGCAAGCAATCCTACTTTATCAGATAAACCGAAGTATACAAAACTAGGGGTCGAACTTATGACAATAGTCGAAAGTCGGATGAACTAAGCATTAAGTCCTATACAACTTCAATTGTAACAAAACATTTAATCAAATATATGTAAATCATACAGATCAGTTCAATAAGCTTTAAAATATGATTTACACAACGATATTGAACAAAAGTTATCAGATGGACTAGTGTACAGTTTTGGTGTATATTCAAAGGATGAAGATCAATCTACATATTGAAACATTTATATTCATAGGTCATAAACAATGTAGGGCATGTTGTATAAGTGCTAGATACAATATCAGAAAAGGAAGATAGAATTGTCAAGGGCAGTAGCAGTAGTATACAGTACTAGTGGTAGTAGAAAACATAGAAGAATGAATTCATGAAATAAAGTGGTTTTTAAAAGTGTACAACTACAGGAAAATCAAGAGTGAATGGATCTGTGCCATTTTGACACCTATATGGTAAATTTTGATACGATACTTGTACATCAACAAATCAAATATGAAATAAACTAGTCTATTTTCGAACTATAAATGAATTATATACTTCTCTTTTAGTCCAATCATTTGTGATATATATTTCTGTAAATGATCATAATGCGACTCAATGATTAGTGATAAAGTTTTGTGCAGTAGGCTTTGAGTAAAGTTTTCCGTTTTGTATAAGCATAACTAATATTGTCGGTTTGATTAAAATACAGTAGATAGCTTGCTCCTAACTCAGCAAAGTTAAATGCTGATTGGAAGAATATTGTAAGTAAGCGAACCATTTATCTAGGCAAATTTAGGTCACACATATTTTTATCTGGATTAGTTCAGCAGATCAGATATTCTTATAAGATTCGCACATTACTATTAGAAATTTGTACGGAGTCCAAGCCGATTTGACAACTGTTTATAATCATTAATAAGCAATAACTATATTTTCATCAATTTAATAGTAGCTATCTAACAACCGCAAATTTGAACAGCTTAATATAATCTTGATGACCAGCATACATCATGTGTGACACAAGGCAGTAACACAAACACACACACACAACTATGTATCACTCTAAACAATCGTGAAAGTCAATGAAAAACTCACTATTTTGGCATGATTATCTTGTTAATGAATAATTTGCATTTTTTAAAAATATATAATGAATACAAATAATAATCTATAATAAATGAAAATTTGAAGACAAGTACAATTTATGTCGAATAAATTGACTGAGATAATGAATTATCAATGTGCGTTTCCTAATTTCCAATAGTTATCAAGTTGAAGTCAACCAGTAAGTGATATAACCAAATCTTTCGAATAAACAAATAACATATCCAAATAATATAATCATATGCTCTGAACTCAACTACTTGTTTACCAGGTGCAGGTTTGTGTATTTGGATGTATAAGGCACATTTTCTAAATGTTATAGCCTAGTGATACTATTTCGTTTGACAAAACGAAGTAGATGTAGGGAGGTTCGAATTTGCATCTATCAAAGGTACCAAGGATTAAACACTGACAACCTAAGAATATCCTCTGATTTCAGTATGTTTTATATTCACAAAACAATAGATAGTTGGATGTTGCATGATTATTACTTGATGAGTAAATAAATATTTTAGTTACGTTATATGTGATGTATGATGACAATTACCAGAAGAAAATGAATCAGAAAAGATAAGTAAAGCATATGATTTGTAAAATGATAAATTGTTCAAGCATTATTGTCAGTAACAACGATGACAATAACATTTCGACAAACACTAAATAAATATAATATCGACAATCCTTAAAAACGAAAAATTAGCTCACTTACACCAGTTCGACTGCCAAGTGTTGACGTCCCACCTGATGTAGGTAAAACACCGGCGTTATTATTATTATTCATATTATTATTGACATTAACGCCATTGACAACCGACAATTTCGGTGCAATAGTATTACTTAATTTTGCTTCAATTTTACGTGTAACATTCTCAGATATTCTTTGTATTGTAGTAGGATCACATAATTTATCTTGATTAATAATTTTCGATGCAGCTATTAATTCATTATCTCGTGTTATAACCATACCATCTAAACTGCCAACAGATATAGTACGTTGACGTCGTTTCTCTTCAATAATACGTTGCATTATTGATCCACTAATAATAATAATAATAATAATAATAATAATAATAATAATAAATACCAATAATAACACGGTAAACTCATGATACACCGATAGGATGAGCAGGGAAAGAATGATAAAACAAAGTAAAGGAAACAGTGTTACATAATTTATAGTAAGGATAGAGTGGATGAGCTTCATATTATTATTTATGCTGAAAATTATTATGGATCAGCATGATATTGATTAAATGAAAAAATAATGTGCTAAATAAGAATGCAATATGTGAATAACTGTACAGCGCAAGAGAGACGTAATCACAGTTAGTTACATTCATTCATTTTCACTCATCAATTAAAAACCTTTCACTTGGATGAAACAATCAATCATAATTGGGCAAAAGATCTAACACGATTATGTGCACTGGTCTCAAAAGTCACAATCAGAAAGACAACAGACGGTATGATAAGTGAAGGAGATTTAATGTGACCTTCAATGAAAATGTGAACATGACAAACACATTTTAAAAGAATAAATAGGATCGTAAATGAAAAGTAATGAATAAAAGTGTTTCACTATTCTTGATTTTCCACCATATGATTAAAGCATTTCTAAATGCAGATTACGACTACTGCACGGGCCTAAATCGGAAAGTTTGTCCCTTCTGAAATGACTGAGTTTAGATCTCGTTGAAAAATAACGCATCATTACTTGCTAAATTTTATGTCAGAAAGCTTTGGAAATTTGAGTAAGCAATGGGTAGGCAAGTATAACAAGTCCTAGTCAATTTGATTGATGAGTCTTACACCTTAATTTATTGGATTGCTCACTGAGTCAACTTGCACTCTCCACAGATCGGAATTATCTTTAAAAAAATAGTGCAGAAATGATTTACTAGTTTAAGTATCTCGCTTTCCATTAATGGATTTTAGACTCATAACCTGCGGTTCAACACCTAAGTCACACTTTAAACAGATGAAATGTACCAGTAGCTATTGTACAATATATGTGACTGAAAGCTAAGTAGCATATTATTTTAGAGAAAGCGATATCAATTAATATTACTAAAAATAAAGGATCTGAGAGAGAGAGATAGGAAGTAAATGATTGAAAATCGTAGAAAAACAAACTCACCGATAAACAATGACTCGACGACTAGGTGTCCTTTTACGATTAGCCGTTCTACTAGATCCTTGATTTTGATGATTAACTGAACGATTACCGGTTACTGCATTTGATCGTGTATTCATAACACCAGGATTTTGTTGTGTTCGATTATGTGAATTAAAAATAAAATGTTTATTCTGACGTCCATTTCTCGTTTGATTGGTATTATGAATACGATTGTACGGTGTAGAGTTTCTTCTACTGCCACCAACCCCAACGACTCCACCACTACCGCTGTCATTTGAATTTGAACGATATTCACCTGGTTGACGTTGAAGACCTGGTTTATTGCCGTTAATATCATTAGTCATCACAACAGGAGCTGTATTCGAATGTTTTTTTACACCGACGGTATGAGCTGTAGCGGCTGCCTCTAGTGCTGCGAGATATTTACGTCGTCGAGCTTCTAGTAGAACACGTTCTGCTTCAGCACGACGTAGTGCTGCTGCACGACGAGCAGCTTCACGTGCTAAACGTTTGGCTTGTTGTGCTTGAGTTATCTGAAAGTGTACATCCCATGGACGAAATAATAAAATCAGTGTCTGGAAAGAAAAAAAGGAAAGGAGAACTAGGCACTTAGTTACTTGTTAATGTTATAATTAAAACGCTTTCTATTTTAAGTAAAAAGTAGAAAATATGACTTTCGTTTTTGTAACGCTAAGTACTAATCCAGTATGTCTATATAATTGGTGAAATATGGTTCAATAACGAAATGAATTGATTGTACACTTTTTTGGGTTATTATTATTAGTAGTAGTACATGTTTGTGTAGTAGGCAGTGAAAAAATTTTATTGGACTATTAAACTGATGGAAAAAGAAATAGGATAAAAATCAATAATCAAGGAGTCAAATGGTTAAAGCAAGAGAGGATAAAGTTGAAATATAGTTATGTCAAATGTAATAGATATTCTCAATTTGGACCCTCCTCTGTAATCGTAATCTATAGTAGGACATTTAAGGTGACATTATTTGAAACCAATAACAATAGTATAGGTGTATTTATTTCTTATTTCCTACAAAGTCTTTAATATTAATCATTTAGCATACTTTCAAAATATGTCACAAATTCAATTGATAAACATATTTGTACCAATTCAAACTGTATTTAATATGGCTTGAAGTGTTATTTATTTTTATTTCAGTTTCAATGTATCATCAATCATCAATATAAAAATGTTAGAAAAAAAACAAGTTGGAAACTCGTGTATTACCATAAACATTAATGGAATACAGTCATTTGAAACTTTTTTTTAAAAATAACGATATTTTATGACTAAATTGACGACTTACAAGACATTGAAAACAAACTGCAGCCAATATAATCAATGTCCCACGCCATGTGAATAATAAAACTAAACGTGGAATTGCTTGACCACCGACTAAACAACCCATACCACTGCCACATAAGGCTAGGCCAACAGCTAGTGGACGTTTCTGTTGAAACCAATGTCCAACGGTAGCAATAGCCGGTAAATAGATAAAGGATAGGCCAATACCTGTAGAATAAGCATGAATGACAAATAATAATAATAAATATGGAAAAAATTATACAGACCGACAATACTCAACCAACTAATTAACAGAATACATGAATAACCGAAGTAACCCATAGTGTCATTGAAGAGAAATCAATGACAATTCAGTGAAGAATATTTTCTCTTTGACAATATCACTTACTCAACCTGAACAATCATATTTATAGTTAATCAACAAATAAAATAGTCTTTTGAAAATTAGGGCCACGATTACATCATAACATGTGTTAAAACGACGTTGCTTAATGAACGAGAATTTGAAGAAACAGAATAAGATTATATCTAGCGTATGAAAGAGAATTGTCCACTTGACGAGTATGAGACGAGTGAAGAATAAATTAAAAACATGAACGTGATGATGAATAATGAAAATTACAAATGAAGATTACATATATTAAAACGACGTACTAACAATGAAATCATAGTTTGTGGAAAGTTTCAGGGTCATGGAAGAATGATGGCTTACACATGTCTCTTTTGCACGCATAGTACAGGTTTAAAAAGATGAACTGTTAACGCCCTATGGTGCATAACTTATTTAATTTGTACTCTTCTCGAACTAAATCCTCTGACTGTGTAGATGATCTTAAAGGATCATGTAAACAGAGTTGAAAAGATTATTTAATATTGAACTAATGCTTGTTCTGCATTCACATTTCGAAAGCCACGCAGTATAATGTTCTGAGATGCGTTTGGCAAATGCCCGCTTTGTGTGACTAATGTAACCTGCTCCACAGGAGCAAATAAACTTATAAATACACATTGATGTGGCTCAATGAGAGAGTTAATACTTCAAACATCCACGAAAATGAGGTGGCTGGAAAGGACTATGTGAAGCTTGGTACATTAAACGTTTCCCTTAAAGATTTAATCGGACGATTTTTCAAAATTTTCACAGCACAATCTCCCTTACACACACTGTTTATCGAGATGACTTTTCTAGGAACTGCCTCGCAGATTTTAGTTTCGGTTTCCTGTTTCATTCAAGAAATCTGAACGGATAGCTATTAATGATGAATATTTGTTGGAGATTGGATAGTTCCTCGTCTATCGTGTCTTCGGAATCTATTCTCCCGGCCTTTGATGATAGAGATTAAACTACGTTTCTATAACATCGCTTAATATAACGAAACAGTACTTCAGTACTCCTTAGCTTTCAACTGCCGTCAAACTGACGAACGCCACCCACAGATCAAAACAATTTGATTGGTTCTATATATATATATATATATATATATATATATATATATATATATATATATATATATATATCCAAGAACACTTCGGCTAGCAGGGACTGTGAGCCCACTCATGATTTACTTCAAGTACAGTACTTGAGATAGGATCCAGTCATAAGATATGTAACTATTGGGAGTAGATGGTCCTATAACTATATCATGGATAAATGTGGGGTTGAAAACGGGCACCAGTGGGTGAAAACCCAGTAGTCTAATTGATAGGCGCTCGTCATGATACATAAAAGTCCTGAAACTCTACTGTTGAGCAGTCCCTTACTTGAACAAACCAGTTGCCCAGTGTTCCCTAGTTTCTAAATGTACCCGAACTGAGATCAATCTGTGAAGAATACAACGTATAAAAGATATTTGGTTTATTTAAGTGACTGGGAGAAAATCAACGATTTTTAACATAAACATCCATAATATTCATAGACATATTTCAATGGAAATACATGTGGGAAGGCTAAATAACAGACAATACAATCAATAAATGAACCAACTAACAGAGTTGAACGATCGATTAATAACTAGCCAATAGTAAAATAAAGGCAAGAACATTATTAGAAAGTAAGAGATTGTATCTATCTCTTATTAATATTGTACATAATAATTTTTGAAACAAAACATCAACCCATACGTATGTGAGCGAGAATATTTCACATCATTCTACTCCTCGTTTTCATTGTGTTACCTATTAAACCAACTCAACCATGTCACTTTCTTTAACGAACAAACTTTAAGTGTGAGCAACATTCTCTACTGTCTACAAAGAAATGGAAAAGTTAGCCAGCATGGGGTCGCATTGCGTAATCATTAAGACGGTCCTCTGTATTCATTGTTTTACTACTGTATTTCAAGAGAGTAAACAAACTAGTGATCACTTATGTTTATCATAGCTATTACGTTGCTCTAAAGTATTCTCTGATTAGTAGTAACTCTCTTTTATAATAGTAATATTATTAGGTGTCCCGACTGTTTTCTTCGTTACTATATGGACAGACTTAATATATAACACTTTAGGCTTAATCTGGAAACTAAAATTCTCGTATCGAAATCTCGAATGGTCATCAGAAACCATATAAGAGTTACTCCAATAGAAAATAGCATATCAGTGTTATTATACTACTATTTGCTAACTTCTTAGTAATTTCGATCATTGGTAAAGTGTGATTGTTCAAGCTAACGGTTTTAAATTAGCAATAAGAATAATAAAAAGACAATAAGTCAAAAATTATATGGTAAGTATATCTGAAAAACTGCGACAAGATGAATATGATCTCCATATGATTGTATTACATCATACTGAGAAAAAACCATGCGACTATGTAGTGAAAAAGTACCATCCAGCAAAAGAGAAGGACATGAGGTGAAAACTGTGAGACTGTTGACAGTTATAGGATAAAAGGGTTGAGTAATTAGAAAGAGAATCACTGACGGATCGGATAGTTAACACTTTTCCTTACTGCTATAAATCGGGTTGAAATTTATTCTTCCGATTAGATAAAATATAAGACCTCTCAATATCCAGCAGAAAAAGCTGGCTAATGAATCGACGTCAAGCATGATTTTATGGAACTACGAAGTAGACAAACTCCACCTGGAGCCCTTCTAGGATTACTCCCGGTCCGAAGCCCGGGTGGTGGAGTGAGGTTAGATATTGAGATAGCACCTCCATCCAGTAAAAAAGAACCTTGTTAAAAAATGCTAGCCAGAAGAAAAATGAAGTATATACAAGTACACACTAACATTTATGAATGCGTTTAGCAAAATATCCGTTTAAACAAACATACTTTACTCGAACGAAACAATATGTAACATTGCTAATGGAAGAGGAAAATGTTTGAAATCTATAATTTTTGAGTATTTTGTGTGTGTTGAACACTTAGATCTTTAGACAAACCAAGTCAGCGAAAACTAGGTAAAATTAGTATGATTACACCGGAAAAATATGTCGCCAAGCCATGAACAATATAGGCTCAAAATCTAACTAGATCTCGAAAAGAAAATTGAGCACTCAACTTTCACATTGTCCCATCAGGAAGAACTTATAGATTTTCAAGATCTATTTTCCCAATAATTTGCGGTAATTTCTCTATCTATTCTCTTTTCCATAATTAATCGTCATGTACTCAGCTCTAAAATACAATACTTGATTGAAATCTGAAGACACTACCCTATCCCACTTGTCCAAATCTGAAGAACATAATGATATGAGAAGATGGTAAAACATGTAGTAGATATTTTAGAAGTTACATTATCTCTCAACAACGAACTTGATTAGCTACAACGGCAATAAACATTCATCTTGCAAACTTGTAGACTTGAAGAAATCACTGATTTTTCTGGTTTTAAGTGTTGAGCAGAATGAGCTTTAAATTCAAGGAAGTTATTAGTAATGATTTGTTTGTCAATGATTGAAATTTACAAAAAACAAAAACTGACTTATCGTACACATTTTAAGTGAATAGAATTTTTATCAACTATATTATGAAGCATTCTATTATCAGAACTAGAAAAACGTGATAATATATATATAACACTACTACTTACCACCAAGAAGCCCAAATGTCAACGTAAAGAATTCAATGGTTGTGACAAAAGCACTGGTTAACAAGGCAATTGTAGTAATAATTGCACCAATCATAGCTACCGGGCGAAAATCAAATTGATTGCTCAACGCACTAACGAGTGGACCTATAATGGTTAGACGGGGAACAGCATAATGAACAAAGAAAACAAAAGATAAAGAAATATACTAAGGATAAAGTAGAATAGTGATTGAAGTTTTTGAAATAATATATTTTTCAGATTACTCCTTCTCGACAGACTATTAGTAAATACAAGAACATATCAATATTACATAAGTAATGAACTGATTTAAAACCATTTTCTAATTCAACTAGAAAATTCCCATTTTGACATTTTGTAAATAAAGAAGGAACCAATTGGGTGAAGAAATTTCTTTTCAATTAGTTTTTTATCGTGGCTCTACACTAATATGTATATATATGATTTACAATAATGATATAATACTCATAGAGTGGATACGTTACGTAATAATTACATAATGACATTTAAATTAACATTGAGTAATTGTAGGAAAGAGGACTATTAATATTCAAAGTAATTATTAGATCAAGAAGTTGCTACGTTGCATAATATATGAAAAAGAGAATACACAGAATTTTTAATGGATGGTCAAAGTTTAAAAACAACAAAAACAAAATTAAAAAACGAAATGAAAGAAGTATGAAAAATAGTTCTGTTGAAGAAAATCTTATACCGATGGCCAATGAAGCGAAAGTGGTTGTACAAATTTCGTTTTAATGCAAAGGTTAGGTTTGTGAACATGCATTGCGATGGCTTCCGAAATGTGCAAAAGGCACACTAGTAAACCATGTGGCAAATTTAATGGAATATGGTAGATAACCTTAAAAGCTTTATTCAATTCAACTTGATGACCTGTGTCAACCAAGTGAGAGAGAATATCACTAATTCCCTCAGAATCCTAGACCTATTGTATCCACCAACCTGATCCCAGTGCATGATACTAGATTTACTCCCCTACTTTTATAAACATTATTCGATCACATTAAGACAGTAAGAACGTCAACGGAAGAAGCTATAAAGGAGGGGCAAGATGAGAGCACTTCAAAAGGGAAATCAGACTCTTTATTTCACCAGCCTTAATAGGACATTTAGCAGCAAAATGTCAGTCAACTGGTCAGTCCTCATCTAGAATGCTGCTACTTTATTAAATCTTTCTTCCTATTAAACAAGCATTCGCATTGATATTTATAAATAGTTTGTATAAAAAACGTTGAAATATAGAGGTTTCAAGCTGAATTAAACAGATGTATAACAACAGTATTATATTTAAACCGATTTCCAGTAGATTCTAAAAAACATTATGTATATTAATTGTTCTCAGTAAAAAGCCACCAAACTAAAATTAGTCTGCCAATGTCTTGAAGAATCAAAATACGTTTCACTTAATTAGATATTTGTATACATTATGGAAAGTGATCTATCTAACTTGAAATTCGCACTCATAATTATTTCGATCTCCTACATAGAACACAAAAAATCGTATTTTTGTCCAGCTGAATAGTAACATAACATTTCTGAAACACGAGTTAACACATTTCTTGACGTGAAGTAACTTCTTTAGATTATGTAACGCAATGGTTTGAAATATGTAGAGAGGAACAAAATCCCAGGGTTTTGTTCTAACTATTCCTCATGATTATACATCAACTTACCTCTCTGTGCCGTCAAATGCCCTGGTATGACAGAGAGTGAGGAGAGTCAGCTCTCCATCTCGAAATGCCCTCAAGTTGCCACGTGCATGCAACCACTGCCATAGTGTTGTTTACGAAATTGAGAGGACGAAAAGCGAATGTCCGGCGCTTTAACCGGGTTGATGTATGCGGAGGATCCACCTAGGTGAGTTGGAAAACCCTGATTCCAAACTAATGATGTACATTGGCTCCAGGATCCTAAGGAAATAAATGGAGTATTAACCTATTGTTGGTCACCGACTACCATGGGACCGCATCTTCTAACGTTGCTCCACAGCCTTGTGTATTAGACTTTTACGTCAAAGGCTCGGCGTGTGTCTCGTTAAGAAGACCACCTGCCTCGGTTTGGGCACCCGGAAAGTATCCCAGCAGTCACACATATCAAATGATTTATATGAGTGTTAGTGATACACCCGATTGCTCCACTGAAGTAGGTGGAGGTTAGAACTCCCGACTTATTGAACCGAAACAGAGAGCCTCTGATATATATATATATATATATATATATATATATATATATATATATAATAAACAGTAATAAATAATTACGTGTGAATCAATGTTATCGTGTTTTTTTGTTATTTGTACGTGATAGGCTACATTGATAATTAATTGATTGATACTTTTCAATGAGACTGAATAGTTGACACGGAATAAAAAAACTTTCTACGGATGAATACAGTAAAAAAAAGTCATTGCTTACAGATTTATATATAATAGGCCCGATGATGATTTACTTTTACTCTTCGGGAGGTTTTGGAACTTTTTGAAGCCCAACAATAGTCGTATTCCTTGACTTTAAAACGGAGTTCGACTCTGTTGATTGTGAGGTTCTGTGGTAGTGTCTGTCATTTGAACGTGAACTAAAGAAGTACACCCAACTACCACCTACCTTGACAAGCGATTTTATCTGATGTAGGAGTAGATGGGGGGAAAGCTAGGGGTGGCCAAACCAAGACGTTGTACCACTCTATTAAGTTATTGACAATTGGACTGAATCATTGTTAACAGATGTAGACTATTTAGTTGGAGTTCGTAATCAATCGTTAGACTTTGAACGACACGACTCAGAATTGCTTGCAATGGCAGCGGTACATTCATTTTATCTTTACTTAGATCCTACGTTTTTCAATTCCTCAATATTTTATTCTTCTATTGAATGGTATCTTCGATGCCTAAACTTTTCCACTACCACTAATACCGCTACTACGCCTACTAATCTGAGATTTGCCCTGGAAATTTCATCTCGCTGTGTTGTTGTACCAAGTTATACATTGGGTTTGATTGGATGAGTAGGGAACCTGTAATCTACGAGCTGACTGTATGGGACGAAACAATAGAAGGCATATCAAAGGAAGAGTCGATAGTATTAGAACTTTTCTCACTATAAACATTTTTTGCTTATACTGCCATAAAACTCTTGCTTACTTTGAAGAGTTATATGGAAAAGCCAATAAGAATCTTTATTTCTTTATATTACATAACTACAAAAAATGAAAGATGGAACTAGGGGTGCATATACGGTTTCAGTGTTTAACTAACTAACATACTTTACTCGATTACTCAGGTACAAGTGGGTAACGCTATTTTTCGAGTACCAAGACCATAAGTGGCCTATCCGCTCTGCTGCTACTGATGTGGGTTTTTCGTTTAATAATATTAAAAATATTTAGTACAGTATACACTATTCTCCACAATTTCGAGTTATTAAGACTTTAGAATTCACGAAGTAAAACATAGTCGGTAGATTTAGATCATTTATTTGTCATGGATGATATATTGATATCGAAAGGGAGAACAACTTGGTCTTAGTTTTGAGACTCCTAAGCAAGACCTGAAAGGAATTGAATTCATAAATATCAAGTCCTTCACAAACCTCTCTCTCTCTCTGATAATGATTTCTACTAAATCAACGAGCAATTTGAGTCGCCATACAAATCGAATTGCTATCATTTGTTTCGTGAGTCGATCACACTTAACATTTTTTTCCTAAATTCACCTATATTTCTATCAAAAAGTCAAGAACATTTGTTAACTTACCGAGAAATAGATATAGACCAACTATTAGACCACCAGGAGTTAATAAAATTGAACGTTGTTGTATTTGAAAATCTTCACCTAATTCTGAAATTGGTATACAACTGCCAATGTTTGGTTGGATAATACGGTCATTACGAGGGTATTTAATTGGACCAGTTTCATTGAATTTCCGTTCATTTGGTGATGATGATAGTACACGAAAATTAGAATATGGACAGACTGGATTTATTAGTAGACCATAAGTGAAACATATTCCATCAACTAGTACCATACAACAAAATGAACCGAGCACAACAAACCAACCCCAACCACCGTCAGATACAACATCGTGTGCATTCAATTCTAATATTATTATAACCGAGAAATACAAGAGAGAAAGATAGAAACTAGGAAATTTGAAATAAACACAATTATTACACTAATACAACAGATAAATGGTAGAAATTGTTTGTTTGCTTTCATTTAGAATAAAAATCAAATTTTGCAAAAATGCCATTCACATATCTTTAGCTTATACTACATACTTATTATTATTACGATCCAAAATAATTCTAATCATATTGATAACACTCAGTCCATTTAATGAGAATGGAATTATTTTTATAACACAACGGAAAAACCATTCAGATAGGTAAACAAAGTGGTGCGCATGTGGGATAAGTTGACATTGATCCAAGTTCCATGCCCACACTTTATGCTAGAACGGTTTGAAAGGAAATTAACCATAGGATGACAGGCAAAAGAATCAATATATCACTTAGTATAAATGATAGAGAACGGAACAAAAACAAATAGTCTTATGAAAAATGACAGGAACTGATCAAAAAGATCGACTTCAAGTTATAGTACCTACAATGGTTAAGTCCTAAATCTCAATTATAGTGCAAACTTCAACCAGTAAGTTGATGTTTCCCAACATACCCTAGATAAACAGTCAATGAGTGGTGCTATATCACCAGCACTTATACAGCTACCCAGATACACGAACTTCTCAACTGCCTTCAAGATGTTAATTAACTCAGGAACAGTCTCCTTCAATAGACAATCCCAGAGAACAGTCCTGTTCAACGAGTCGAAAGCGGCCCTGATGTCAAGAAAAACAACGATTGCTGGCCTGAAATAAGTATGTCAGTGTTCTAACATTTGGTGGAGATATAATCAATATATCCTCAACCAAAACCGGCCTGCTCTTCGTGAGTCAATCTTTCTCGCGTTTTGAACAATCTACAAAGTATGACGGTAGCCAATAGTTTGGGCGCAATCAGAAATAGATTTATCCTTCGATAGCTGTTACATAGGTGATGTGATTTGTACCCTTAGGATCCTGTAGTCCATGTGCACAATTTGTTTGGAATCACGGTTTTCCAGCTTCCCTAGGTGGATCATCCGTACTCACTAAACCGGTTATAGTCCCGGACATACGCTTTTCGTTCACTTAATTTTGTAAATAACACCCTATGAGAGAAAACAATGAGTAGAACCTCCTTGGCAGTGGCTACATACGCGTAACCATGTGAGGAAATTTTGAAGAGAGCGGACTCTCCCTACTCTCAGCAGTACCATGGCATTTGGGGCCAGGTATCACTTAGTCAGATCATGTCATTTCGTTTTACCTATCAAATAACGTTCTATTTATTCATTTAACAATCCCCAAACGTCCTTCATTTCAAATCATAAAATCCCCTTCTACTGTAGAAAAAGGATGTCTTGTTAACTTTTCGGAGGTTCAATTTAACGCAATTCAGTATGTAGTCATTGAAAATCAACGTACAGCCTGACACATGTTTTTGATGGCCCAGTTAACAATACTGTATTAGAATGATGAGATGAAATTAACAATATGAATGGCAAAAGAGACTGAAACAACATAGTAGCTAAGATAATGAGAAGGACAAAGCAATTAGAACATGGTTCGAAAAGACATGAAGGAATGTTGGAAAACAACATCTAGATTGAGATAAGAAACAATGCACAGCCCAACAGACTGATTTCTGAGCTGTCATCCACAGCAATCGCTGACAGATATAGTCTCGCGGATCCCAACTAGTTATTATACACACGGCTTCGAGTTACATAGTCTGCGTGGCGGCTAGTGATACTAATTCACCGGATATCCTGATAGAATAAGATAGAAAGAAGTTTTGAACGTGCAACCCAATGGTAAAATTATTCTTATAGACTAAGTCCCCAGCAATCACTTTTATAATAAAACTCTAAATCCTTCAATTATAAAACTATCATCAAAATTTACTTAGATATATTAGTCGAGCGTATTCGGTGAAATAAAGTGTATGTGAAAAAAAACTTTAGCCTTATGGTATCCAAAAATAGTAAATAACTATTTTTTACATTAAAGAATATGCACTTTTATTGTAACTTTCTATCTTTGTTGACTTTCAGTAGGGTTTGACCTCAACCTTAATTCAAAACTATGACATAGTTCATTATTCAGTGTTAAACAATATTCACCATGATAATAATAACTTATTAAAATTAGTCCCCAAATGTCCTGGTACGACCATAGGTTAAGAGAATCTACTCGCACAGTCGGAATGCTCTAGTATAGCTTAAGGTTTATAGCTTCTGCCAATGAAGTACTTCTTACAGACTTCATGTGGCGGGGGTGTATTTCACAGGACGAAATCTAGATCTCTAGAGAATATACCAGGTTGATAGATGCAGAGAGTTCACCTAAGTGAGTTGCAAAACACTGATTTCAAATCAATGATGTGCATGGGCTCCAGGATCTTGAGAAAACAAATGACGTATATGAGATAAATTGACTCAGTGACTTCGCAAGTTATCAAATATGACTTGAAGTGCAACCTAATGGCGATCCCAATGTATTCCCACCTTACTTTCATTATACATGGGAGAGAAACTCTTTTAACTGAAAGTTCTTCTTGGTTGCACTTTTTAAATTATCTGTATCTTCTATAGCATACTATTCTTGTCCATTTATTTTTTCTATTTTTCCCCCTTTATTTCTTTACAGCATTATGTTTTTCATCTATGTGTCACATATCTTTTCTAGTACCTAGGTGTACCAGAATCGGTATATATCAAATAAAATTGTAAAAAAGTTGAAAGATGAATTAAAATCATAAAAAAGAGAAGATTCGAAAATGTGAACTACTGGATTTTAACACATTGTGGATCTAAAGGCAATGTATTTTACGTGAGATTGGAGGATCTTTAGATCGATTTTGTATAGAGATTTGTGAGTGTACACTACTGACCCAATCAAAAATGTGACAGCATCAGATAGCGATGAAAACTACCCTACAAATTATTATCAGTTGTACCACAACAAACCGGATCAAATAATAATAAGAAGAAGAGAAAGAAAAAGTTTAGCTAACCTCCTAAAGACGTATGATAATGTTGATCAGCAGTAGCAGTTACTTGACCAGGTGTTTGATATTGTATCAGTTGATTCGTTTTCAAATTATATTGTGATGAATGATAAGATGCCGCGGCTGTTGACGATCCACCACCACCACCAATGACTGGTAATTCACCAGGATTAATCACACAAGCTGGTTGTAAATGTCCTGTTGAAGGGATAACATGAGATTGTTGAAGTTGTTGCTGTTGGTTGTGATATTGGTCTTCCTTTACCTTTTCATGTAATTCCTGTAAAAATCATGTAGAACAAATAAAAAATTATCCTAATAGGAGGATTCAAAGAGATCATATGATTGCTAAATCAGTTTACAATATGAAATGAAGATAAATAAAAAAGAAATGGGAATAAAAGAGTTGAGTAAGTTTTCCGTCATGGTAATGTAGCTCTAGTAGTTAGAAACCAGACTCACTCAATGTCAACTATATAATCTGAATGTAACGTGCTAATCATGAAATATAGGGACATTATCGTATGTATGCACTTCTAAGTCCTATATTAGAATGAAACAACTTTCCAATGGACCTTGGTTTTCAGAGAATGTTAGGTTAAAGTCAGTGACGAACATTATATATAACTAACACATGAATTGAATTGTCAAGTGAATTGCGATTGTATTAGTGGTTGCATATATAATTTCAAAAGGCATCTCTGAAGATATCATCCTGAAAATTAAAGAAAAGAATCAACGCTTATCAACGGAAAACAGAAAATATTGACAGATCCTTAGGCCAAGACGCCGATACCAAATACTTCAAGCGCGAATCTTAAAATGCATGAAGTGAGTCTAGAATCTATCAAACCAGTGCGATAATAGTTGGAAAATGATCTAGTTTATGCCATAGAATTCAACAAAATGATCTTACTTAGATATAGTCTTTAAATACTAGGCGATCGGCAACGAACTACTAGCGAGAAACTAATGCGATCCAAAATTCGCCAAGGGAAACTACAACTTCGTAAACATGACATCTTATAAAGTTTATAACTACGATTGAAAATGCCTTTTCGATTATTTCTGGACATATTTGAATCTAATAAGTTTTGCTACCAAACTGAATTGCCCAATCTGTACTGAGAGTTACAAAAGCATGTATAACACAAATTTGTAGGCCCAATATTGACAAGTTTACATAAAATTGACAAAATCCTATCCATTAAAGAGTTCATATTTACGAAACAATCTCAAATCCTGTATGCGTATTTATTTGGCTGACTTGTAAAGCAAATTAACGACCTAGGATTTACTTGTTTAGTGATTAAATTTATGAACGTTTATCCTTTACAGAGGTGAAAAGGAATAAGAAACAAGTTAGTCAATCTATCAAGTTAGACAATTTTTAGATATTAGGAAATGGATACTCTAAGTGTTAAAGAAAAAGTTTAATAATCGACACAGGATAGTTCCGAAACGAAACATTTATGCGTATATCAAAAATATTGACTTCTATTCAACTTTTTTCCTCTAATCATCACCTTTTCAGATTGAATTTACAAAACATCTGTATAGGTTTATCAACTGACCAGATAATATTTAAAAAACCACTTACAGAAAAACTATCACATCATTCACTATCACTAAAGACGGATTCCGTAAACACAGCTGGAAATAAATTGAAACAACAGTTGACTAATGACTTATTACAGTTAGAAGATATGCTTCAATCTGGCAAAAAAACAATACCACAGAAAAGTATGAATAGTGAAACATCAACAAAATATGGACCAGTTGTTAAAGCATACCTTTAAAAATAATCTCAAGTCCTCACTGCCTGTACTATCTTCACTTGCTTCATGTTGTAATTGATCCACATCCTCAATTGTTAGCTGATCATTTTGTTCATCAGTTGATTCAATTATAGGATTAAAAACTTTCCCAGGTTCTTCAGTCATGTAGAGAAAAAAACAATAGTCCTAAGCTTTGTTTATGGATTGATTTGGTTGGTTTTTGTTAAACAAGGTGTGTTGGCTGATGTGAAGAATAATTATACATAAAATGAACATAAAAATAAAAAACTGGACAAAATAAGAGTGATTAAGGATCAGTTGAACAAATTAAGATTTATCTTTAATAATACAGTGTGGTTATACGGAGATATAACGACGGCTTCATTAACCTGACTAGTTAAATTAATTCCGATGGACTTGTTAGTGAGGTTATCCCTAAACAGATATATGTAGTTTGGTCAGTGCTAGGTGGCTTATCGAACATGTACTGATATCATAATTACTTAAGGTATCAACAAAAGTAGGTAAATGCAGCAGTTTATCTTCTTCAACTAAGTGATGGTCGAATTTTATGTATGAAGTTTGCAAATATGCGATAAAGTATTTTTCAAATTGATAGTTTCAAATAAATTGAGCATTGGGTAGAGTTAATAATAAATATATTTTTGTTACATTTCAATGAGCAGAAATATAATTTTTCTACAAATTGGGATATAAATATATACTCACAGTTGTTTTTTAACTGTTGCTAACATGGGTCCCACTTTTACTTAAATGAGATTCTAAACATGAATTGAACCTCAAATGGAAAAATATAGTGTTTTTCAGAGATGACTAACTAAAAAAGCTGAAAAAGCATGTGCAGTTCTGGTGTTTTAAATTTGAGGTTGTTATGTCTGATGTCGCTTGTCACTTATGCTTGAAACAAGGAACCACAACAACACAGAAGGCCAGTACAAGTGGAGATCTACTCACCCCAAAAAGATGACGACTCTAATCGAAAGTACACTGATGTATACACGGATTGTATACACGTTTGATTAACAATTAGGTAAACGTCACATGAAAAATGCCAAGAATTGTAACTAATCACATGTTGTATACCATGATGAGTATATTTCATATTAATTTAGTACAAAGAATATCATATCTTGTCTAAACATACCAGTGAAATAAATCAATTTTATACTGTATAAAATATCAGACTAGAAAAATCAAGCAAATATTACTCTGAGTAATTATCATACTGAATTCAAAAATGGAAGTAATGCTGTACAAGAATCACAATGAGTTCGAAGTGAGAAACTTTATTTTCTAATACCATCGTATCATAAATGGAGATGTATTTAATCATTTATAGCAGTCTTCAATAGTTTGCAGCCAAAATTTTCTCGAATTCAGATTGTCTATAAACACCTATTTGAGCTTATGCGTGAAGCATCTAAACTAGTGGCTTTTGAAGAAGTTATACGGATTTATTCAAAAAGTTCACTACAAGTTAATTAGATGTGATTAGTGTCATAATTCTTACGAGCATACGTCTTGAATAATAAATGCAATTAAGTGATAATCATTTGGCAGTGAATAATTTAATTTACTTTGACGAATTATGTTTACTAGTGGACCACCATGGCAATTGGCGAAGTAACACTTGAGAAATTGTTTATCAAATAGTAAATGCCTGGGTGAGATCACACTCCGCGATAAAAGTATGTGCCAGGTGAAATAATTTGCTATTCAGCGCGACCACAACTGTCAGTGGACTTTTTAAAAATAAACCGAATCACGTTTGTTTCAATATCGTATTCTGCCAGCTCCAATAAAGAATAAGTAAACAGGCTAAAATTCTAATATATTTATAAGTCTTAATCCCATTATGTTATATGATACAACTTGTTTTGTTTCTTTAAGTTGTTAGTTATCATAGGCATTCCTATTACCTGTTGTTTATTTCTAGCCCACTATCTTCTTTCCAGTTATCTTTACCCTACTGACTGCCATTTCAAAACCTTTTATATATAAAGACAATCAGCGTGGCAGCAGTGTGACACCATGGTTCCAGAAACCCCACTGCCCGGAGACAGTGGTACTGATCTGGCTTCGGAATGTATCAATTTCCTTATTTTTGTCAAATTAGCTAGGATGCTATGGATGATTGGATAGACGAAATTTATTGGGTACTATCAGAAACCTGAAATCGTTTTCTAATGTCGTGATTGAAATTCACAAAAATGAGCCAGTTAGTGCTGTCAAACTCTCCAATTTTCTAAAAAGCTGACGATTGAATGGATATTTAGCGGAAACCCTATTTGACTTAGTGGGACTACGAAGTCTGTACAGAATTCACGAAATTTGAGGACGACTAAGATATGAAGAAAAGTTACACTATTCAACCTATATGTTTGTTAAAGGTATTTCATTATTTCAACACATTTTTATATGAAAACTAATTATTTGATGAGGTCTGTAATTTCGAAGAACTCGTAAATTTATGTTAAAATGTGCAAAACATATTCAAAATGAACTGAGAGAACTAGATATCCACAACTAAAAAACATACTGTTTCAACTCCAGTTCGCGATGAAGTGATAGACAGTTGTTCATTATCAACATATGCAAAACTAATGAAGCGAGATCTACGACAAACGTAACACAGAATTCAAACGAACCCGAAACTTTCCAGATGACCTTGATGGCAGAAGAGCATATTCCAATATCCAATCTCCATCATTTTCCTGTTCCATTTGGGAAGAGAAGATCCTACAACACTATGTGAGTATGCTTGTTTGAGTATTACACAATAGTTTTTGAAAGTTTTATGTGATTGTTTTTAAAACTTGCTCCACCTTCACATTTTTGTCATCTATTCTTGATTAATCCACCTGTACGTTTTTTTATTTATGGTGCTGATTGAGACATTAGTACTCATTCATCGTTACGTTTTCGTGGTTTTCATACGCTTTTATTGAATTTCCACACTTACCATGAACCACATATATCTCATTTTACCATACATATGGTTATGGAGACTACCATGATAATTCGTCCCGCTTTTTTATTATGTTGCACAGCATTAACGTCGATGACTTGTAGTGGCATTGGCTCTTAACCATACAATCTTCAAAGCTGAACTCGAAACAACTGGGAAAATAGATATTCATCGCTCAACGCAGAGAAAAGCCCAACAATGGAGATGGTGGTCACAATGAGTTGAGTTAATTCTAATTGATCGGTTGACATGGCTCGGCCTTGCAGCCGTGGTCTTACTTATGTGACATTATTTTTATCCACACTAAATACACTGTTCTATCTCCGGTCCAAATGTGTTTTTTATCATGAGTTGATAATTATTGTAACGCGATGAATTGGGGCACTCAATGATGTGACTTCCACGTATGATCTTAGAGATTAGGCAGTTACATCATAACAAATCTAAAATTTTAGGATCAGCTCTATTATTAGAGCAGCACTAATATCGAAGTAGACCATAACTCTAAAGACTCACAGGATTTTTACTGCTACAGCTCACTTCTCCTTCAAGTAAGGTAATGTGCAGTGAAAATCTCGATTCATCATAGTCTTTTTCAGATTGTGATTTTTTCCAGCCGTCTTGGAAATAAAAGAAAGTAATTGTAAGCCCTTGTTGAAGCACACTTCTACGTGCGTAAGGACTCAAAGTGGTCGAAAAAGGAAAAAAATGATGCACAATGGTTTTGTGTTATGCGATTGCAAAAAAATACTTTTGATAAATGATTTTGTTGAAAAAAATTATGTGCACATAGATGTTAGCGTAATTTTAAAGTTATTCTGTATTTGGTTTTTTGTCGAAATATTAGAAAAAAGTGAAAACAATCTGGTATGTTGTGCCTGACGTTCACTAGTCGTTCAAGCGTTCCAGAAACCTTACTCTTCTTCCAAAACGCGTTGTTTTAGGCCAACAGTCAGCTACCACCGATGTTCTGTCGTAACTGTTGATTATTGAGTGAGGTATCATAATTGTGCCGCTTATGTCGTTCCGTTGTATCTGAGGAAAGTCAGTTTTATTAGGTTCTTCTTCTAAATACGCGGTTTAGGACGATCAATGCTGAATCGTATCAATGCTGTAGAAGTTCACGCTGAAGGATTTCGAAGAATCTTTCGTATGTCATTTAGAGGGTGCACTTTGTTGAGTTGCGATATACAAAAACATGTGTTCTTTATCGTACGGTTGGCTGGACAAAATATCAGCTGACTGAAACAGGTTTGACTGATTTCATGTGGTTTGTAAGCCTATTCAGTTAGGGGTTTAGTTCCATATTCGTTGAAGAAGATGAGAGATCCACAAATTGTCCTGGAAGTCAGAGTGTCGTTCTATAAACATTTAAAACTGTAGTTTATCCAACCCCAGCTTTTACTGCACTGTAAATACCGAGCAAAAGGAGTGGAAAAGCTTCAGTTCTGACTAAACTTTTGCAGCTGCGAGATAAGCTTTAAGCTGTCGTTATATTAACCCTGTTGCTTGTGAGTGGTAAAAGGTTTTTCGGAACCACATCACTCTTACTAGCGTAATCAAGCAAAGTAAAAGTCCATATTCTACCTGGTTTGCATATTTTGCAGTGATAATTGGATGGGTAGCTGAAGTTTGTTATCAACCGTTCTAGAAAGAAGCGGGACACTGTTTCAATAGTAAATTCCTTGATGGCTACTGTTTCTAGCCATCATGTAAAAGGCTCCACACACGTTAAAAGGTGAGAGTGTCCACTTGAATATGGCAAGGGTTCTACCAAATTCAGGTGGACATGTTCGAGACAGGTGTCGAGAGTTTTGAAAGGGCTCAAGAGACATTCGTTGTGTTTGATCACATTGAATTTCTTGCAGTTTACACAGGCCAAAAAATAATGCTCCTTTATCTGAACACACATGCAAGGCTGAGTTATGGCATGCGATGAATTGAATTTCGAATGGATGTTCCCGCGTTCACGATTATTGACCTTCCCTCAGTGTTACATGTTGAAAGTCTATTTCCCCAGTTATCTCATGTTCAACTTTGAGTATTGTGGTTAGGATCCAATTCCACTACATATCAGTTTTAGATTCACGATACCCTAATCACGACGCTTTTATAACCAGTTGTTTTACTAAATCAAGAGCAGCTTACTAATCACATAAGCAAACGTGTATTTCGAATAAGTTCAGAACAACAATTAAGGCGGGTTAATTTAAATTATTTGCATTTTGTCGTATCTCGTCACCTGCTTCAACCATTATGTGTGTGTCGAGCAATGATTAAATATGGTCCGTACACAGATTAGACAGACTACGTCATAATTTCGACATTTTGAATGATTAAAATAAGATTACTGAAATAAGAAGTTACTAAAATGGGCTGTGTAATAAATGAACACGATTGGGACAGTTTACATAAGTTAAGATAATCAATTGAATTAAAACCTATGAATAGAGGGATAAGTTTGGTGTACACAAAATAAGAATTAATTCGGCGAAAAACACTTAACAAAATGAACGTTAAAGAACTACAATTAGCAATAATGCTGCTAATAAAAAATAATAATTGACCAAGGCAGTAAAAGGTTGATTGTTGTCGCATCCTGGATACATGGATCAAGTGTATGGCTTTTTCTACTGTTTCGACGAAGTATACTGAATGAGAGAGCAGAGAGCAAAGCACATGCTCTCACTTTTGAACACGATACAAAGGATTTGAGATCAAGAGTCTCGACTGTTTCGAATAATCTAATTTATCGATATTGAATTGGCACCTTATAATGTTGTTTAATCTCTCTAACCCTACTTCTCAGAATTCAATCGACAAATTGACTGCGAAAAGACAATTTAGACTTCACAAATGACCTAATCTACCCCTTCTATCTCATTATATCAACAAATGCAGGTCAAAACAGACAGTATAACAACAGCCACTACAACAGTAGGCCTCGAAATACACAAGGAAAATCCGAAAACCTCAAATACAAAATGAAGAACACAAATTCAATCACACTTGATAGAGACGTACTGGAAGGGGTGGGAACTCATGTACTTGGACAGAATTATCGATGAACAAGGAGAATTCGGAGCGGACGTTAAGGCGAGAATCAACAAATCAAGGGCAGAATTCCTACAGGTGAAGTACATATGGAACTCAAAACAATAGTCTGTCAACCAACATCAAAGTCACAATCTTCAATACCAACGTCAACACAGTTCTACTGTACGGAGCTTAAACTTGTGAACCACCACAACTGTCATTAAGAGAGTGTAGTGGCATTGAGCCCTAACACGAGATAAAACTGGGAAATGGTCATTCAACATTTAACGCTGGGAAATACATAACAACGGATAAGGAGGGGATAATGAAGGGGATAAATTGGGATTGATCGTATGGCCATGCAGGCGTGGTCCTTGCTAAATGTTACTTTATATCTTTTATTCATATTAATTATATTGTTCCATCTCTAGCCTAAGATTGTTCTCTATCATGTAATGGTAATTGTTACGATGCAGTGAGCTGGTGTAAATGATGATGTGACTTCCACGTAAGATCTTATAGATTAGGCAGTTACATCATAACAAATGTACAACTTTAGGATAAGTTCTATTATTAGAGCAGTGCTAATATCATAGTAGATAGTAATTCTACATGAGTACAAGTAGTTACAAACAATTGTGTATGCAAGATACTCAGTGTCCGTTGACTGGATACCATCAGCAACAGCCTAAAAATCAGAGTTGGATGGAGAACGCTGGTGGGCGACCTGTTCCCCCTCCACGAGCAAAAACAGGCAAAATAAGTAAAAAAGTACCGGTATTAACACGTATGCTTGGTCACATGTGACACCCCACTCACACATATCTCTCAGCTTGAATCATGATCGTTTAAATATCGCTCGATATATAACATTTATTTAATGACCGTTATCGAGGTGATTGATGCGCAAACCCTATGGAGTTGTCATGAAGGCAAGCCACTGCAAGACCACCGAACATGTTGCGTCGGGAATCTGTTGCAAAGACCAAAAGAATGAGTAGCTACAAGGAGCAACACTGAAATGATTGTCTAGGAGTGTTCGATCAAGAATCCTGGAGTAGGTCTGCGTATAATTACACTATCGGCATTCCATAAGCTTTCAAACGTACTAGGAGACAAGAAACACAGCGTTTCTCCGGTTTGTCGAAGCATTAGCAACAAAACTTACACTTGATTCATGTATACATGTATCAAATTTGTTTTTGATTATTATTGTTTTAATTAAACCAATATTTAGTTATGAATAAAAGTGCTCCCATGTGCATGCATATCATCCCAGATATACGACTGAAATACAGTTTGATGTTTAATTAGGAGCATTCAAGCCTTTGGATAAGTACACATGATGATTCTCCTCCATTTAAGACAAGCATATTTATTGCACGATCATCAGTTACCATATCAGGCTTCCCTGGATGACACTGATGGTCATTACGTTGTATCTCATCGATAGCGTAGTAAACAATTAGAGTTTTGAGTGTCTCGTTGAAACAGATTGCTACCTAAAAGTAAGCATGCTTTGTCTGATCACACCAATTCGCATCTTCCGTTTCATCAAAGACTACTGGGCATAAGAAATTCTGTTTTCTACCATATCTCAGCATAAGCATTTAAACTGGCCTGAATTCGCCACCTAAAATGTAATTAGTTTGATTTACTTAAACATCTACGCGTGCGTAAAGATTGCACTCTCTCGCCTTGTAGATAGGAAGGACAAAATATTTAATGACCAATTAAAACTACTTCAAATGTTACTTAACAAGTAAAACGTCAGAATCATGACTTTCTGGTAAGTTTTCGAGTTTTTATGCCATAGAAACATAAGGGATGTGTAAGTGCGCAGTAAGTCTATCGTCACAAGGATATTGGAAGCTCACTTTGTTGGCGCTACATTCTGCCCATACGCTGCATTAGGATGGCAGGCAATGCTTTGAAAAGACTCATGGCAGAGTACAAACGTGCGTCTCAGCTAATTAATAATATTCTCAAATTCTTCATCGCCATGGTTTTGTTTGATTGGCTTAAAACAAGTTATATCGTGTGCATATTTTGGTGGAACGACTGACCTCTATTATCTAACTGGCACCTCAATAAGTCAAATTGTGGTTTTCAAAACCGTATTTTACTGTAAACGAGCAAAGAAGTAATCTTAATTTTTGTGCCTTTATTATTCTTGAAGGCTGGTTTTCAGCTGTTTTATGTTCCACTTTACACATATCTTAGATACTGAGCGCTTCTGAAGCAAGCCTTTCATAAATCTGTCTTAGTAGCTCTCAACCGCTGTAGTTTCTTCTAATAATGCTTTATTCGCCACCCAACCGTAGCATGTGAGAAACATGAAGTCCTGGTCTTCAATAATAAATACCTATAAACATGTCTAATCTTTTAGATTTCTTGAAGTACGTCCTCAAAAAACAAATCGGTAATATTTACTCTCCACCCCATATATTGTTGTGACTAACTTGTTTTGTCCAAACCAAACGTTTTCTGCCACTAGTTCGAAGTTAGTAAACATACAGACAGCAATTTCAGACCACTTAAATCTCAGAAGGTTGATTCTTTGCTAAAATTGTTAGGAAGTAGTATACAACCATGTTAAACAGCTTTTTTCTTGTGACGCAAATGAGATGTTTTCTGCCAATTAAAGAATATGTATGATTTTTAATAGTTGGCTTTGTTTTACTCTATAGCTGTGAAATGTAGCTTTTAAATATAGGATATTCGTAGGTAACTAGTATTCTACCCTAGATACTTTGAAGATATTGCTCACATATGCTCGGATCGTTGAGTTAACATTGGTTAGACTACACTCAAAGTACCTAGTAATCTAGTTGATGAGAGTGGCGCTTCATTGTCTCACTTATCACAATTATTACATACCTGAAGATGCTGTTTACTGGTATGAGGTTAGGCTAAAATATTGATGGGGGCGAACAAACCATCGATCCACTAAGTTATTGGCTGGTAAACCTATTGTTGGTTACGAGATACCATGGAACTGCATCTCTCGATGTTACTCCACCGTTTCTTGGATTATACATGTAGGTCAAACGATCGTTGAGTGGTCACTTAAGAAAACCACTTGCTTCAGCTTGGGCGCCCGTGAAATACTCCAGCCGTGACACATATCGAATGATTTGTGTGGTGCATATGTATTTGGTGCCTTCTAGTACCAATGTTTGTGTGTTTAAGTAATAATAATATCAACCTACTGTCGACGAAAACGACAAGATTAGTCTCATTATGCATAATTTTTTCTTCAGTACTGATATTACTATTTCGATTCCCTTGCTTTTCTTCTGATTAGTTTTCATTCTTATCATCCTTGCATCAATTTGGACTAGTTTGGTCCATATTTATTTAAATAATATTCGATATTGTTTAGGACTAACTGTGCGATTTGATAGGTGTTGTGAAAGTTTAGGTTGGTATCACCATGTAAATAAGATTCTGTGTTAGAACGTAGATACGAATATGCATTTAAAATGATTTTCTCGTATGATGAAGTCTGTGGAACATCAAGTTAGTGGTTAAATTACTGCTATTTTAGCCCATATATTGCAGGTTTGCACCATATCCCACCTGTTTTGACGTGAGCAGCCCATTAGTGTCAATTACCATGCCTAAAATATGACTCGAAACTGAATAAATAAACATGTACTTGGTAAATTAACTACATCCTATTATCTTACGCTTTGATTTATATTACTCGCTCCTCCATTTTAGAATTAACAGTCAATCCACCAGAGGGTATTGTTGCTGGACCAGTGGACGAAAGGAATTTTTTTGAGTGGGAAGCATTAATTGCGTGAGTTGATTGATAATTAAGTTAATAAAGAAGATTAAGTGGGATAATGTAATAGCATTTGGTAACTACATATCGATAAAAGTTAACTATGTGGTATTGAGTGTTCAGTTCTTAATAATTGTAGCAAAATATTATTTATTTTAACACATAGGTATTGGTACAAGGAGGCACCAATTACATATGCGCCACACGAATCTCAATTGATTTGTGCGAGGGCTGTGATACTGCCCGGGTGCCCAAACTGAAGCAGGTGGTTTTGTTAAGGGGCCACACCCCGAGCCTTCGACCTGAACGTCTGACCCACAAGGCAGTGGAGCATCGTAAGGAGATGCAGTCCCATGGTAGCCGGTGACCAACGATTGGTTCATACGCCATTCGTTCCTTCAGGATACTGGATCCCATGTGCACCATTGGTTTGGGATCCGGTTAAAGCGCCGGACGTTCGCTTTTCGTCCTCCCATTTTCATAAACAACACTCTTAGTGCGAGAAGACAATGAGTAGGACTTCCCTGGTAGAGGCTATATACGTGTGGCCATGTGAGAGCATTTGGAGAAGGAGAGCGGACTCTCCCCACTCCCGGCCGTACCAGGGGATTTGGGAGCTGTAGCAAAATAGCAAAACAATCATTTGGTTTTTTATAGTTAAATATTTAAGTCATCAGTTCACTAGTTCAATGCACCTTACGTATTCATTCTGTTATAAATTAGTTATTGACTTCTTATGATCCTCACTGTATCATTTCAAACAACTCTGTCATTGTATCTTGCTATATATTCAGTTTTGTAATTTAATAAATTTTGTAATCTTGTGTATTGATCAATTGTTGCATAAAACACGACTTCAAAATTATTATGTCATTAACTAGCTAGTTAATGCAACTTGGGAACCTAGTAATTAGGCTTTATATGTAAGAGTTAATAGTAATACATGAATGCTCAACCTAAAGTAGGGCAGGACTCAAACTTGCGATCTAGTGTTTAGAAGCTCTCAAGTCATTTAACCGCCGAACTGCACCATCAGTGTATCCTGTATTGTCCCTGTATTGTCCTTAACGTAAACAGTATCTACAAATAATCTTGCAATACAGTTCCGATTTGTCTGTAGAGTCAGATGTAAAATAGACTGCAGAAGTACATTTCTGTGTATTACTAAAGATGAGTAAAATAAGATACACAAATCATATATTTTTATGATATTAAGGATTCTGTCTGGTGAGATCGGTGAGTTACGAATGTCAATAAAGGAAGATCGGTTGATAGAATTGTGATAAAGCTCTGATTGACGTTTAGGACAATATTAGTGAGTTCTCAGCCACTAAATCTGTTTGGTAGAATACACATCAGTAGTTCTGATTTTGTAACAATGTTTTCATTTCGTTCTTTGGCCATTTTCCTTCCGTGTACTACTAATAAACACAGTGTCTTAATAATAGTTTAACACTTCATTAGTGAGATTGCAAGTGCCAATCTGCTTCATTGCAAATTCACATCTGTGATTCCCACTAAACAAAACTAAAAATATAATTTTTGGAGACTAGAGTACAATGAGAAACTAGACGTCAATTCGAAGTTAAGTAATCCATAAACTTATCAATACCGACTAAAAACTATGAAAATCAAAGAATACTGGATAACTACTTTGTCCCTTCTGTTTTTTTGGGGGTGGGGGTGGTAGTCAGTGTTTAGCATTTCTTCATCTTCAAACTTAAGAACCTCAGTTTTCTTGCTATAGTACAATCTAAGTTTTGTTTAAGAATATTGCACTTCCGTTGCTTACTTACGCCTGTTACTGCTCGTGGAGAGGGCATAGACCGCCTACCAGTATTCTTCGTCCAACTCTGTCCTGGTCAATCCTTTCCCATCGCTATTCACTTTTTTGAGGTCTGCTTCCAATTCCCGACTCAGTGTGTTACTTGATTTTTTCTTTTTCTCTTCAGTATTTCAAGTTAGCACTTGCCTCGTGATGCAGTTTGATGATTTTCGAAATCTATGTCCTATCCACCTCAGTTAATTATTAGTAAGTATCCCGATTATCATCCGCGACTATCAGTCAATACCGTTTAACAGTGTTTGGTCATATATTTCTGACTAAACAGTTATTCTGTGCATTCTGTCCTCCAGTAATACTTCAGTTCACTCCATTTCTGGATAGGTGCTTCCATTAAGTCAATCATTTCCATAGTATATTGGGTCGTGAGTAATGAATGCTCTACTTTCTCTGTATCAATTCATCCTTGGATGTATTCCTAATGAAAAATATAATTAAAAGGGCGTTTCACAGTTGAAGACGAGAAGCGATGTATACTAACGGTCTCAACCCAAGAAAACTAACATTTACTTATTATCTCAGTTTAATAATAAAAGTGGTGACTTATTGATAAAAGTGTTCGAATCCTAACCCATTTACTTCGATCCATACATCTGGATAGTATTACTAGTCTGGCTACACAAAGAATGTGATTCAAAGCTGAGTGTATGAATAATTTACGTTGTTGTTTTTTATTTGTCCAACTATAGATTGCTCAGTGCAACACCTCAGTATCTATTTAGTTGTATTTTTCGAAATATACCTCTGAAAACACCAGAATCAGTGAAACGAAACGTCTGTTATTTTTTTATTTTTAGTTCGTCCCCAGGTTTTGTTACTTCCTGGCTTTATCGTTAGTACCAAAATAGGTAAACACGAAGTTGATGGCTTAGTTATTAAGTGACTTGACCTTTCACTGATAGGTCATAATTCCAAACCTTGATTCAAGTACTTTGGGTAGGGAAGCTAGAAATAGTGTCATCAACAGTTTAAAATTAAGCTGAGTACGTAAAATTGTAATTAATGGGTTAAAATATTACTCATTATTATTACTATAAAGTGTTAACTGAATTATCAAATTGAAATTCATTAATTGTTCACTTATGAATTGTATTTAAAAGTACGTATGTATATTTTTGACAGTTTTCTATTTAAAAGTTACTTATTACTTATTGAACCTCCTAGTTTTTTTATAGTTTTCCATTCTATTCCATATGTGATATATTATAGTGGACCGGAGGGTACTCCATTTGAAGGTGGTGTTTTCGCTGTACGTTTGAACTTCCCATCAGATTATCCTTTGTCTCCACCAAAAATGCAATTTCTAACTGAAGTGTTCCATCCAAATAGTGAGTATATTCAGTTTTTATTTACTTTATGTTTTCATGTAAAGAAGATAATTTAGCCGGTTTTGGTAGTGTTGCATTCCTTGAGCTGGATAAATAGAAATCACATTGTCGTGCTGAACAACGTTATCAGCACTTACGTCATGCAGAATTAAACTTCACAATTTTTCTTTAAGCTTCAAATCAGTTCGTTCTTATGACTTTGTTGATGGTCTTTGTAAGTCTTGTTGTCTTCATTTGTTTTTTGTGTTCCTGTTGATTGCTTTGTTCGGTCGACCCTTGACTATGTGGTCGGTTAATCTTTTCCCTATGGGTTGGTAGGTTTAGTCTATGTTGACGTATCTGTTGATTGCCGATTAGTTCGAATCTCGCGCCTTTCGAAACTCTATGAGTCTTAGAATTTCCTGGACCAAGAATTTTGACGTTTTCCTAATCGATTTCGTACCCATGGTTCTCTGCATGCATTAATAACAGTGATAACCTGTGTCGTCCCATTTTTGTAGTGATTGGGCCCGATTTTACAAGTAGTAAGCTCTAATGTTATTGTTCAGAATTACAGTGAAATCCTTGCAATTAAGCTATATAGCTCAAGGAAAATAGCACCACAAAAATGTTTTTTCGTCATCACTAGCTGGTAATCGTGCTGTCATTGACTTTCCTCTAACCTGTCTCAGAAAAATTCATAATGTTAAGGAAAACTGGAAGTCACATAAGATGGTGGAGAAGATTTGTAGCTCAGGTGGATGATTTTGATGGAGTTTTATTCTCAGAGAACAAAACTCCATTGAAGTCACATAAGTCACCACGAAGTTTAAATCTTGATAAACCCAACCTCCTGGTCTAAATCAGAGAAATAGACGCTTAGGACAATAATAATGCTGAAAATAATTTCCCCACAAATATGTCTAGGTTGAAAATTGACCAGTGAATTTCAGGTTGAGGTGCCGTAATGGCATATTAGAAGGACTAGCGTCTAGTTTTGAGATGGATTCCAAAGTGCAAATGTGAGTTTATGTCTAGTGAAGTTCAACTGTTAAGTTTCAACAGTTTCGTTATATTTCTCTCTTACGGTTATAACCCAGCTATTCCTACTGCTTAGTATTCTCGGACACCGATTCGCTCGACGAGTCCCCAAATCAGAACACGATTGAACAGGAAAGAGATTGTATTCCAAATAACAAGGTTAGATGGAGGAAAGAAGCACAATAGGAAAACCGTTAGTATATTTATAGTTTTTACATGAGAAGATTCTACAGTCTTCTCCAAGTATCGACTAGCGCTGATTGGGCAAGAATTAGCCAATCAGCGTGCGCCAACGCAAGCGTGCAATGAGCATGATTTAATCCAATCTATGTCCCGCTAACAAGTTTTGATATTTATTTATTTATGAAGGGGTTGGGATCAGGACTTTCTTCCTCTGAACAGTAATCGTGGTTGAGATGCATGTTATGTATTTGCCACCGATGCAGGAGGTTGGAATAAAACAAGTAGCAATCAAACCAAGATATTTTATTAATCCACTCAGTTGTTGACTGTCGATCTGAACCATGTATGCAGGTATAGACTATTTGGCTAGGACCCTTGCGACTATCGTAACCAATAATTGGATATGCTGAGTGATATATCTCAGAATTGCTTACTATGGCACAAATGTGCCCACTATTTGTCTTCCCTCTCAAAATGACATCATACTTTTTATTTCACACATTTATTCTTGCTTTTCGAATCATATTGATTATGCCTAGTGTTTTCCACCCCTACTGATACTGTTATTACTTCTACTACGCTAACTTTTGTTTTGCTAGTTCTACATTGTTTATGAATTACTGAATAGTGATCGTTTGATCATAGTAGACCCAGACCCCCGTATATAACAGTTACGTCATTATTTATTTATTATTATTTATTTGAACACATAAATATTGGTACAAGGGGCACCAAATATATATGCGCCACACACAAAAAATGAGGAATTTCAAGAGAAGGGAAAAAAACAATAACGACCAGATTAGTGTAAGGTAGTGTAATGGTAGTAATAATGGGGGAAACGAAAAGGTGCAATCAGGAGAAATCTTTCAGTTAAGGAAGATACAAACACTTTTTATGAAGAAAGTAAAAGAAGGTTACAGCAGGATCGCCACTGGCTTCTATTCTGAGCCATATCTGATAACGTCTCTAGCCACTGCGTTACACCGTCTCTCGGACCCCAGCCAGGGAGTCGTGAAGGACCAACACAAGCCAGCCCTTCGCAGCTTTCTTTCATACCACGACACCATGTCATATACTGACCAAATCTCCGCTTTTTCCAACCAGTCCCAGGGTCGGCAAATAATGCACGATGAGGAATTCTCTGGGACGACATTCGTAGAACATGTCCAAGCCACCGAAGTCGGCGTTTCAAGATGGTGACACCAATTGCATTATCGTCTCTGTGCCCGAACACACGATGCCGAACCTCTGCATTACTAACATGGTGTTGCCACTGGATGTTAGCAATCCTTCGAAGACAACGATGACCGAACACAGAGAGTCGTCTAACATCCTCAACTCGGAGAGGCCAGGTTTCACAAGCATAGAGCAAAACTGCTCTCACCGTCGCGTTGCAGATCCGACCTTTCACAGCCAGACTAACATCACGAAGGCACCAAAGATGGCCCAGATTGGCATAAGCCGCTCTGGCTTTCACTATACGTGCATTGATCTCATCACTCACACCACCACCAGCACTTATGCAGCTGCCCAGATACACGAACTTCTCGACTACTTCTATCTGCTCACCATCCAGAGTGAGTACAGGATTAGAATCCTGCCAATCTTGTAGAAGTACTTTGCACTTCGAGGGTGAAAGCACATACCATACCTACGGACATTGATTGCCAACTGATTAAGTGCGGATTGCATGGCTTGGGCATTCTCGCATAGTAAGACAATATCATCAGCATACTCAAGGTCGAGAAGTCTTTCTCCAGGCAACAGATCCACACCACCATTACTTACATCCATCAGAGCTGTTTCCAGAATGTCATCGATGGCAAAGTTGAAGAGGAATGGTGAGATTGAGCAACCCTGCCTAACTCCACTGCTCGAATGGAATAAAGGAGAAAGGTAGTTGTATGCCATCACTCTGCCTGAGGTGTTTGTATATAGAGTCTTTAGGATGTTAATAAACTTCTCAGGCACACCCTTCTTCAATAGACACTCCCAGAGAACAGTCCTATCCAACGAATCGAAGGCAGCCCTGATGTCAAGAAACACTACAATTGTTGGCATTTGATAAGTATGACGGTGTTCTAACATTTGGCGGAGAGTGAAGATATGATCAATACATCCTCGACCGGAACGAAACCCAGCCTGCTCCTCGCGAGTCAATCTTTCTCGGATTTTGAATAACCTACGAAGCATAACGGAAGCCAATAGCTTGGATGCAATCGGAAGTAGACTTATCCCCCGGTAGTTGTTACAGGAACGACGTGAACCCTTTTTAAAGATAGGGACAACTATCGACTCATTCCATGACGTCGGTACACTCTCTAGTTCCGTGACCTTTGCAAACAACGTCGTCAGTCCCTTAGTCAGAAAGACACCACCATCTTTAAAAAGAGCCGGAGGTAAGTCATCTGGGCCTGGTGATTTGTAACGTTTCAAGAGTTGGAGTTCCTTGCGGACTTCCGCCTCATTTGGTGGATCAGTCGTCACCGGCCATGGAGGGCAGGATAGTCTGACCGATGTTGCCTTAGCAGCAGGCCATTTGAACTGCCCTTCAAAGAATTCTGCCCATCGTCCAAGACGTCGATGGATGTTAGTGATTGGCGTTCCGTCATCCTCGCAGATTGTTTCGCTCACACTAGACTTCTTGCTGCTAGTAGCTCGGATGAGTTGGAAGAGCTTCCGGTAATTACCAGATGCAGCTGCTGCTTCCAGCTCATTAGCACGCTCCGACCACCAGGCTTCACGGTCCTTAAGCAAGCTTTGCCCGATTTCATTACGTAACATCCTTCGTCTGTGGTCAAACTCACGGTCACCCGGAGTAGACCGACGGGCTTCAATCAGTTGTAAGGAACCAGAAGAAACCCAGTGCTTGTAAGCGGGACGTTTTGCAAACCCACAACAGACTGTACCCGCCATTTTCATGGCGTCATGCAATTGCAACCAATGCTCATCTATACTTTTCGGTGGAATGGTAGCTAGCCTAGAAGCTAGCTCGGTTCGGTACATACTAGCAACAGAAGTTGCAGCCAGCTTGCTAACATCAATCCTTTGGTGGCGGTCACTTCGTTGTCCACTGAAAAGTAAGGTAAGATTGGCGCAGACCAGAGCATGATCAGAGTCCAGATAGGTACTCCAAAAGGAGCGGCAGTCTTGTACACAACCACGCCAGCGGTAGCTGATCGCGATGTGATCAATCTGAGTCCAGGCTTGAGATGCAGAAGGGGGACGCCAGGTGGCACATCGGCGATGACTGTGCCGAAAGTTAGTGCTAGCCAGAAACAGGTTGTAGTCTGTGCATAGTTGCAGTAGACGTTTCCCGTTATCTGTCCTGCGACCAACGAGTCCCGATCGGCCACCTAAACGACTCTCTTCTGTGCCTAGACGCTTGACCTGAGCATTCAAGTCTCCAGCTAGTACTACAATATCTGTCGAACGCACTTTCTGTAGAAGAACAGTTAACTGGTGGTAGAACTCGTCCTTGATTGCATCCGGGCTGCAATCTGTCGGGGCATAGGCGGAGATGACGAAAAGACATCGTTTCTCAAGCCGATTTCTCAATTTGATGGAACTTTCTAATCTAACGGCACATAACCGACTGTTAATGGGGATCCAGTCGATTAGTGCTGCCTCAGCTCTAGCGCTTAGTGCGACACCAACGCCAGCAAGACCAGAAGAAGATGCCACAGAGTCCCCGGATAAACGCACGTAAAACAAGCTTTTTGAAGCGACAGATGGAGAGAGAACTTGTAGTACTTCACCAGAGTCTTGAATACGGGTCTCGGATAGACAACAAACGTCGATATTAAGACTTTCCAAAGACACAGCCAGCCCTATCTGTTGTCCGACCTGCATAAGTGTGCGAACGTTAAAGGCAGCCAGTTTGAATGGTGCACGTGTTTTCGGAAAGACTGCTTCAGTACTCTTATTCGATGTTAACATACAATTTCCAACCAGGCAGTGACACGAGAACTTTTAGATAGAGCCGAATGTCCACCATAGGAAAGCTGCTGTATAAGTCGGAAAATAAGGATAGACAGAGTGGGAATGAAAGAGAGTGAATAAATGACGTGGTAAATAATAATAATAATAATAATAATAATAATAATAATAATAATAATAATAATAATAATAATAATGTTAATTGTTTGACGATAAATCGCAGCGTGAACAGAATTTTCAGAGAAGATCATCATTTTCATTATATTTGTGTGTGGGCTGTGATACTGCCCGGGTGCACAAACCGAAGCAGGTGGTTTTCTTAGGGGGCCACACCCCGAGCCTTCGACCTAAAGGTCTAACCCACAAGGCAGTGGAGCATCGTAAGGAGATGCAGACCTATGGTAGCCGTTGACCAACGATTGGTTCACACGCTATTTGTTCCCGTAGGATACTGGAACCCATGTACATCGTTGATTTAAGATCCGGTTAAAGCGCCGGACGTTCGCTTTTCGTCCTCTAATTTTCGTAAACAACACCCCCGCCACGAGAAGGCAGTGAGTAGGACTTCCCTGGCAGAGGCTATATACGCGTGGCCGTGTGAGAGTATTTCGAGAGGGAGGGCGAACCCACCCCACCCTCGGTCATACCAGGGCATTTGGGGGCAGTTACGTCATTACGAAGATTTGTCAAAGGACAATAGTTCATATCTGGTCTGAAACCCAATTGTGTTCATCCCTAGTTATCAGCATCTCATTATCATACAACAAACAAAGAAAATGAAAATAAATTAAGTATTGGTTAACAATTTCATTCTCAGTATGTTTTGTGTACAGTATGTGAAGATTTCTTTTTCACTCTCCTCTCTTATTATGTAGTCTATCCAGATGGACGCGTGTGCATTTCCATACTTCATGCTCCTGGTGATGATCCAATGGGTTATGAAAGTTCCGTTGAACGTTGGAGTCCAGTTCAGTCAGTGGAAAAAATTTTATTATCTGTTGTTAGTATGCTTGCAGGTAATTGATTTTAATGATTAAGATTAATTAAATCTCGTTTTTAAATTCTTCGTTTTTTCTTGGTTTTTTTTCAGGAAATCATTGTCCTGTTTAGAAAACTACTCAAAAACCATAGTCCGACTAAATAACTCTCATTTTATTAAAATCACAAACCGATCAATGTTAGATCACTACTCAAATCTTGGAAGCACTGGAAGGCCGTCTCGTCCTGTTGTAGTACTACTCAGCAGTGCGCATCCGTAATTCTGAGCTCGGGGATCGAACCCACGACCTCCGGTTTCGCGTGAACACCTGATCTGTGGACCACTAAGTCGGGATCGTTTTAATCAGATAGTTTTTATCTCACTATACTGAATTGTCATAATCAGTAACTTGATAGGTATGAGAAAGAAGCGTTTTCTGTTGTGATTACATTTTGTTAAAATGATAATCCATTGAATACCAGTGTTTTATAATTAGTAGATAATGCTAGAAAATATCAGTGTTAGTCATACTGACAACAAGCAACTGTTTATATGATCAAATTATCGATGTAACTCACCTCAACACTTTCATCAAATGAATTATCATTAAAATAAAGCCAGCTAGCTCAATGAGTTTTTGTTTAATTTAGTAAAATGATATACTGCCATACAAAGTAGTGAACACAAGAGATTATAAATAGTGAGCAGTCATTAAACAATCGGCGGTCGGGAAACGGGTACAGAAATAAAAATTCTGTTGATTATTCTTTTGTGTTTATGAAACCGAGACCTAATTCCTACCCATATCATATTTACGGCTTCTTATAAGTTAATATTTGAAAGTCTATATAATAAGAATTTTACTGAATCGTTTTTTTGGAAGGGGGTATTTAAATCCAGCTTATAATGAAAGTAATTTAATTCATGGATTAACATCAGTTTGGGAATCACTAAAATCCAGAAAGGATTGGTTAGTTTTGTTTAGTTTAAGCATCCAACTCTTTGATTTATTTGTTGCGATCTCTTAAGAATTCTTCAGAGAACTCTTCAGGAACTAGAAGAAGAGTAAAAATACTTCGTCTAACCAGGGTTGACTAAAAACTTCAGAGTTCTAGGAAGACGACAGGTTGTGTTCGATGTCTTGATTCAACAGTTAGTGGTTTCCCTACTAATTTATCCGTATTTCTGGAAGCTTCTAAAATTCTGTAGCCATACATCATGTGCCTAAATTACCCTAAAAGCAAATCTTGTTTTCATATTTCCTGCGATTTCGTCTTCCGTTTGAGGCAAAAGCGTAGAATATTCCTTAGGGGGACTAGGATTCAGCTAAAAATTAAGTTCAATATTTGAGATCATGAGTCAATTGAAGCTAAACCACCATGAAAAACCTGGAACCTCTGGACGGCCATTTCGTCCTATCGTGGGACTCCTCAGCAGTGTGGGATCGTGGATGCGCAATGCCGATGCGTCTCACGATAGAACGAAACGGCTGTCCAGTTGTTTCAGGTTTTCTATGGTGATCTAGCTTCAATCAATCCCCGTTTAAAAGTTTAATCAGTTGTTTGTAAGACTGATGGCCACCTTACTTCTGTTACTGCTCGTGGAGGGGGCATAGGCCGCCCACCAGCATTCTCCATCCAACTCTGTCCTGATCAATCCTTTCCCATTGCTATTCACTTTTTTGAGGTCCTAATCTCAGCACTTCGCTATGATCGATTGCAGCCTCTCATAGAACTTATTTTTATCGGGTGCGTTGCCATCATTCGTGAGTGCATAACACTGGATAACATTCATTATGATTCCCTCCTTTGTTTCGAAGGATGCTATGATGATTCCATGAGATTCTCATCCTATAAATGCTTTACGTGCTCGTTTGGGCAGGATCAGAGCAACTCGGTGAGTGTGCGGCGCACTTTCTTCTTCGTGACCAGAGTACAGCAGCATTTCTCCGGAATGTAACCTTTAATGTCAAGCTTGAATCCAATGGGTTTTGCTTCTTCGGAGCACGGTCAAGTTGTATTTACTCAATTTCGTAGCTATTTGATTAGTCCTCTTGGTATCCCACATTGTGCAGACATTGCATGTTCGTATATTAATTGTTGCTGTGGTTGTTAGAAGGGTTATTGACCACGTGACTTCCGAAGAATCTCGGCTTTCACCACGAGGTGTCTTAGTTCTTCTGAATAAAGATTCTTCAACTTATATCGGCAAACTTCAAATTATTTATTTTGGTTAGCGTTGTCTTAGTAATGTTGATTTCTACGGGATGGTGGCTCTTGACCCCATGTCCAACCCTCCTCCTTTAAAGCAATTAATCCCTTTTATAAATTTCAATAGAACCCTGTCTTGGGACCGACATAAGACCTAAAAAAGCTACTGGTGAATTAATGACCGTCTCCAAACTGTTTATGATGTAGTATGTTATTAATTCTGTTAGTTGTGTTCGTCCTACAAAAAATTACTTCACATGGATTAATTAGTAGTGAATACAATAAAATTAATTTTTGTATTTGATTATCGTAGATTTGTGTCATGCTCAGTCAAAACAATATTTTACATGCTTCCAATTAAAAGGTCAATTGTAGGTTATGAAAATAGTTTTTCAAATAGGTCTAGTTCATGATGTAAAATATATTGTGTCCTACACTTTGATTTTACCACTGTCTAACTCTTCACTCAAGAGTTTATCTTGTTTCTATTGCAACTTCCAACTGGATAAGCTTTAAGTGGTTAACGCTTATTTCTACGAGTGATTCCTACGTTTTTTTTTATAGAAAAATAGTGTTGTCGTGACGGGCAATATCCAAATACTGACACTAATACACGGTGTGCTGCGCGCTAACCCCTCAACCGACTACTTGAGCGAGAACACAAGAGTGAGCAAAGAGGTTTATGTGGTTTCTTAATAAAGTGCACAGATACTCATTTATATATATGCCACTCTAACTTAAGAAATTGGTCCATTTCTGAACCAATGAAATGCACTTGATCTTTAGGTTACTTCTGATTGTCATCTATTGACATTCTCATCAGGCTACTTCTGATTGGATTGCCATATCACCTTTCCCTCCTGAACCGTAAATCCTACTCCTTGATGATCTTGAGGTCTGTATATCAATTCTTTTGCGCTGATCTCGTCTCTTCAGACTAATCTAGTCGCAAGTTCGAGCTAGGGGATTCTTTTTCCGAATTTAATCGTCTAACTTGGATGTGGTTTACATATTGCGTACATCACGTCACTGATTCTTCGTAGGATGACACCCGCTATCCACGTGGGTCCCGATTATTGAGAGTTTCTTGCGTACATTGGTTATGCATTGAGAAACTGACGTTTAATTCTCTTCGCCTCGTCTTATTTTTTGTGGATACATGATATCAAAGGAAGTCCAAATCTTCCTTCCAAACATTGACTCAACAGTGGGGACAACCTTAGATGAGGCTGGATTCGGGGTTATTGCTGGTGATTTTCTCGGTTGTACCAGCCCTTGTAATCATTCTCAAAATCATGAGAAATTTTCTGTCACCGTTTGTACATGATATGAAAAGAGGAAGATATTTGGCTGCAAATAAGGTTAGATGACTCGTCAAACATTTTGAAATCTGGATTACAAATAAGGTTAAATGGGTAATAGAACATTTTTAATTCTGTGGTCTAGTCAAGACCCAATAGATTGAAATTTTCATCGTTTACATAACATTTGGATTTGTTTATTGGATCATTAGATTTGACAGTACATTTGACAATTCCAGAAATGTGAATTGTAATGCTCAATGAATTCTTTGTGCAGTCGGTAGTAGGATGAATACTTGGCTGACCAAGTTTGTGCCAAGTTTTTCGAGAAATCAAAGTAACATCAGATGTAGTGTCCAACTGCTTAGTGATAATACTATCATTAACATCAATGGATAAATACTTGCGTGAGCATTGAAGGTTAGATTTAGTCAAAACAGGTTTCTTGAAAGTTCGGTTAGATCAAAAGGAAATAAAATTTTATGAACCCTTTGTGCCACATTCTCAGTTGATTACTGATTAGATTAGATAATTGAGTTATTGCGTCACTGCTGTTCAACTTTACATTATTATGAAACTTTAGACAAGATTTTATTGTAAAGGTTTCCTTGTTTTATTTGAAGATGACGGTTAGCGCTGATTTTCACATAATGAATTTCCAAGGCTTAAAGTATGATAGTAACAATCTGAAGTTAGTTTTAGGATCTTGAACTCGAATTTATATTGCAATCTTTATTAGTTACAAATCAGTTCCACAAGAACTAATGGATTTTTGTACCTAACGATTATCAATCTACTATGCAATTTTTCAGTAATTAACATAATCGGTTTTCCCAGTACAGGTTTATAAGTTCAGCTTTAAGACAAAATTTGTTTTAGTATATGGGGTAGTGACGCTGCTTGATGTGGTTCAGACCTGCGACCCAATAATGGCATGTTATTTTCCTCGTCTTCATCGTTCAAGAGCACTCGTTTTAACTAACAAATCAAAGGTTCAAACTCCTTACTCGCGTTAGTCTAAGTAGTTGGATTGTGTCACTAACCTCATCACCCTTGTAAAGAGTGTACTTGATAAATAATTCACATTATAAGTTGGCTAAAAATCATCCTCATTCTTTGTTTTTTTTAAAACTAATTATTACTTTTTAGAACCGAATGATGAGAGTGCAGCTAATGTGGATGCAGCAAAAACATGGCGTGAAGATAAAGCACGTTTCAATAGTTTAGCACTTCGAAGTGTACGTATTAGTCTGGGTATTTCGGCGGAATAAGATGCTATCAAAAAATAAAAGACAGTAACAATGAAACAATAGAAACTAAGCATATCTTTTGATTTCTTTGTAACATTTATCTTTCATTTGTTATGCAGTTCCTTCAAAATAATTCTTACTGTGTTATTATCGTTTCATTTTTTATTGTTGTTGTTGTTGGTATTAGTGTCTTTTCACTTTCTGATCAAATCAGTCATGAACGATCTTATGAATTCTATGATTTTGCTTGAATAACTGTCTATTGTGTAAACTCCTCCATCAGACAATAAAAAAATAGACGAACAAAATAAATAGTATAAAATAAACGAAGTTGACTACTTCTGATGTGATCGAAATTAAAATTTGTCTGATGTTAATGACATGACAATTTGGCCAAAGGGATTTTTTTATCTGAGACTTACTTGTGTATGTTGTTAGGTTTGGGAAATGTAATAATTGTAATCTGGAAGAATGATGTGGAAGACATTTGTATGCTTGTTAGTGGTATGAGATATGAACAGGATTAAATATGTGTGGACATTGTATTAATGGTCCATATTAAATATATCATTGGGCCTTCCTTTCTATCAAATACTGTAGGGTTTAGCAATACAAAAAAACCTTCAGCCGCTGGTTTTTTTGTATAAATGAAAAATCATATTCAGATTAAATTAGTATCAATAAGGATTTTATAGTTTATAAAAACGGCGTTTATTGCCATTGCTGATTTGTTCTGTTGATTTTACGGATCTAAAGGATTACCTGGATGTCTCTTTTTCTAGCTTAGATGTTCTCTGGCACAAGTCGTGATTTAACATCAAGACTCTGCAATATAGAATGCATAACAATTCATAATGCTGTGTTGAACTGGTAGGGATTCTAACTTTTATTTGAACTAAAGCATTTCGAGATGTTGGTTGTTTTACGGGATGCTTTTATTCTATGGGATTTAAGGATTCGTTATCGTTCGTCTGTTGTGCCATAAAGGTATGGTAGAACTGCAGTACCAACCCATGATATTTTATTAAATTTATTATTATGCGTATTACAATAATGAAATAATACTCATCGAGTAGATACTTTACGTAATAACTATATAGTGACATATTGATTATAAATTAACATTGAGTAGTTGAAAGAAAGCGGATTAGTAGTATTCAAAGTAATTATTCGAAAATCAGGCAGCTGCTACGTTGCATAATAAAAAAAGAGAAGGAACTAACAATATTTTGATGATTGTTCACTAGTATAGTAGTTATGTATTTTGTTTAGTAATATTCAGGATAAATTTATTTAGCTGTAGTTCGCTAGTTGTGTTTCTTCTCAGCTGATGTTACGATTATAGTGCCTCATCTGAAAAAAATTTTTGCGTTGAGTGGATGTGCTGAGTTGAAATCAAGGTAGTTATTCGAGTGTGTCGGCTTGCGATAAATGGTTAGTTCAAAACTTCAATTTGACCATATGGTCTTAATATGGTAGTCCACAAAGTTCATTTCAAAAGTGGATTAGATACGATCTGAGCAAGTGTGTTACTTTAAAAAATCTATGTTTGCTACTTAATTATGCTCCCGAGAAAAGCTAAATAATGGTTCAACTTGTGTAAGAAAGACAAGAAAAACCTATGCAATATATCGTTTATATCTGTTAAGTCTTGTGTTTCAAATTTTTTTCTGTGAAACATATATACCTAAATTTGATTTTTAGGATAAGATGATATTGTTTCTAAAACATTTTCTAAATAAGGTAGATGTGGATCGATTTAGGAAGATTGGTCCACTTTACTTTAGTCGACAAACTGTGACGGATTATTTTGAAATTTCAGACTACAGTAGTTGGTTCACATAATTAAAGTAGTTGCAATTCCGTCATAAGTCATCACTGCAACCCACAGGTCAGTCTTATCAGGACTTTTGACTGATTATATGGGATTCGGACTTTTTGAGCAATAACCACGTATTATCAACCCACGACATTGTAGTCGAGCTATCATACCTATTTCACTGAAGTTTATCAATGGACATGGTTTGGTCGTGAACATGAACTGAGTGACTTGGGATGACCTGATTCCCTTCATTTCTCTTAATGATGGTAAATAACCTGTTAAGTATTGGCAGACGCGGAACACTAATAGTAATATTCCCATCTCGGATTTCACCAGCCATTACATCCTTGTAAATCCATATCAATTGCATTGAAAGAATCAATAAGGACTTTATATCCATATCAGAAGCAGTGGTTCCGGACAAACAGGTTGGAGTAAAGCGTATGAAATTGTCTGAACTACTTTTACAGATAACGAGGAGGACGTCTAGTTGTGGAACGATTTATCATATTGATGTGTGGTGGTGGTCGTTGAGCGTTGACAAACAGAGAGCCCACGTACTATTAAATGTGTGATTTCCTTTCTTGAAATTGATTTGTACTACGAACTCACTGAATGTGATTGCTCTCAGCAAAGTATTGTGTAGTGATTATTTGATTTTTTATTTTAAGTCGTGAATCCCAGTTCTGATATGACATTACTAGACTTATTAAGATTTTGTCGTAATATGGGCAAGAAAGAATAACATATAGAAATGCTTAAACAGGAATCATGGGACAAGACATCTTGGATACCGCTTTGGATCATGACCTCAAAAGAGTGGCTTTAATTTTTCAGGTAACTCGAAAGTGAATACTGATGAGCTGTTCTCAGGTAGTGTCCCAAATTTTTCAGGTTTAAGTGAATTTAATCTAAATATGAGAATGGGGTTCTCAAATCTCTTTTGTAGTCGTTTGGAATCAATTAAAACGTAATTAATAATAAGTAAATCATCAGAATTATGGTGTGGCCCCCTAAGTAAACCACCTGCTTCGGTTTGGGCACCCAGGCAGTATTACAGCTCTCAGACATATCAAATGAGATTTGTGTGGCGCAGATGTATTTGGTGCCTCCTTGTACCAATATCTATATGTTAAAATAATCCGAAGTTTAGAGTTATGTACATAAATAGGATTGACTGGAGAATCATAGGAAGTAAATTACCATCAACTAGTTTAAGATTCTTTACGATGTTTTCCTGTACAAATATGGGTGTAAATACCTCCTTGAATAATTTCCCATATGGTTATCACCTTTTCGCTCCGTTGTATTTATTGCTGCTCCTATTAATGCTTGCAATTTCGTGTATTTTTTCTGTTTTTTGATTTGCTTGCAATTATTAAACCTATATTGTTAAAAAATCCTGAATCGTAAATAACTCACCGATGTTGATGAGTCTTCAAGTAAGTGTTTATATTTGTTTTACTTAACATTTCTTTACGGTAATCAACATTTTGGACTGCTTTCTTAAGTTTGTACTTTGTGGACTGATTGCTTCTGTCCTATGAGGTTGATCTTGAAGTAAGCTCCCTGTTCGTTTAAAATATGTTTCCCATTCATACATGTGAACTAGTTGTATTTTTTCATACAATTTTTTTCTTGTTGCCTACTAATTTTTCGATTGACTGTCTGTACATGAGATATTGGTCGATCTCGTCACTCAACTACGTGTTTTGAGATGTGTGAATAATTAATTATTCTGACAAGGTAGTTGGATTTATTAGCTTCCGTGTTTGACAGTTTAGAAACATCCTTGCCCTTTCTTGCATCATCTTCTAGGGACAATAATGATAGGCTTACTATTCTGTACTAAAACTGCAAACATCCATATGGGAGATGCGCCAATAACGAAGTATTATATTCAAAGGTACTCGAATTATACTATTAACTAAGAATCCCCGAAACAGTGTAATTTAAACAAAAAAGGTCTAGGTGAATACAAACGAATGTACTGCATTTAGGATTCGATATCAAAAAGGAATCAAGTACAAAACAATCATTGGTTAGTACAAACACCAAACAAGGATAAAGTCTTAGTTGTTGAAACAGTTTGATGAAATCTGTAGAATTATGACCTACGTCGTCAATAATATTATTATAAAAATAGACCTAATCCTGAAATTGTATATATGTCATGGTGTGACTGCATAATCTATGAGTCACATCATTGTCTACACTGACTAATCGTATCGCAACGATTAACAATATGATGTCTGGAGATTGTAAAGATCTCATTCAGAGTAAAGATAATGTTATGACTTTATGTCCAGCTTTCTATCACGTGATTTGTCCACCAATCAAAATACGACTTATACAATCTTAGCACTGTGCCAAACCAATGACGTTCGACTGATATGAGCAGCCTAGCGTCCTCATTGATCCTATGTTCGCCTAGCCCGTCCACCTGAGTCCAGAACATCACTTCAGCTTTCACTATGCGAATCATATATTTCAAACATACTGTGTTTATATACCAAACAAACATACCGCAACGTACCATAAAATGGAAAATAAAATTTGTACACAATAAAGCTAAAAAGTGGCTGTAAACGTGGAAGGCAGAAGTTAATAAACTGAACATAGCTTAAAAACAGTAAATCGTACAGTAATAAATAATGGATAAAAACAAAGCTTATAACAAGGGGAATATAGATATACATAATCTAGTTACTGAATATTTATACCATGAGAATCTATAATAATATTAATCATTAATAGTCCTCGAGAGTTACCCGTAATTTAATCTTTATTAGGATATAATATATAGGATAAATATATTTGGAGTGAATTAAAACAAGTCATACAGAATAATCACGATCGCGAGGCTAATCCACTCAACCTACTACAACTACGCTGAAATCTTTGAGATCGGTGTACGGCACCAGGTAGGGAGAAATCCAAGGTAATAATGGTAGTTTGTAAATTCCAAAATTGATCCAGTGTAATTCGTCAACATATGGTGGTATTGGTACTTAACCATACGGTCCTAGAAGCTGAACACACGATTTTTGAGCAGATTCACTTTCGATATGTAACACTATGAGAAAGATAGCAATGGTTAGCGCAGGAACATTCATTCAATCTGTGACATGACTCAACCTTGCGGATGTGGTCATTCTGTATAAATCATGTAACAGTAAGAAAACGCCAAAGATCCCTTTTACAGCGATACGTTGGACAGTAATGTCATTTATTTGTTGATTTTTTCTGTCGTGTTTTTTGACCTTTATTATGATCTCTCTTAACCACACTTTGTGTTCTTCTTCTGAGCCTTTGTTATGTGATTCTGATTGATGACTTACATTTCGTTACTTTGTTTTTCTGTTGCATGTTGAAGGACTATTTACATTAAGGTCGTGTTTGACTGGGCTCAAGGTTATGGCGTCGTTCAGTGAGTGACTTGTAACCTATAACTGTCCGCCTGGTAAGCAATTTGGAATTCCTGCAGATAGACATCTGATCCCATTTCGTTGCGAGTATTTTTATTGATTCTCAGGTGTTGGACCTGTAGTGACCTACTTTTATCAACAGAACGCGATTGGTGTAATAGAAACAATTATTTTTTTAACTAATCGTACCAGTGAGTGTTTTACTGTACTTGTTTGTTTAACTGTACTAAAGACATACTGTCTTCCGTTGATTGTGATCTTGCACAAATTCGGTTACGCTCAGTAAACCCACTTGTAACATAACACGATCTGAGTATTCCTTCGGTACCACGAGATCGCCAACAAATACATCTGTACTACCTCTGTAGTGAAATAAAACACCAGTGGGGACAATCCAATGTATTTAACAACGATTTACAGAACTAGTTAGTAAAATCAAACGACCATATATTGAATCGGTAATTTGCAAATTGTTCATCAATTATCTCAAATCACTCAGAATCCCCTTGTTCTTGCATTTTCATACAAATTGCATTCTCTCTTCATTCTTTATTGTTCAATCTTCTTATCTCTCTGCCGCCAGACATTCTGTTCAGTGCTCACGTCATATACTACTTAGGTCTACATAAGTAGCATACACCACACCTCCATCAACTGCCTTCTGATATTTGGCCTGCGGAAGATATTATCATTTAACTGGCACGTAGTCTTTTTGTAGTGATGATCATAGTCATACGCGAATCGACGCAACACTACCGACCCTTAGGTATTAACTGTTTCTTTTGTTGTTTAGCACGCTAATTTCCATTAAATTAGCCGTTGACTGTATAATATGGGCTTTACCTTTTGAGTATTTTGTATTATTGATATAATTTGCTCTCTCTAAAATTGGAACCGTTTAGATTGAGCACAGAATTTGTGCTTCGATATAATTTAATACGAGCAACTCAAAAACTCTATACAGAAGAACGTAGTTTGGTCTAATAGAGTAAATCATGGTTCGACAATTCTGAATTCAAACCAAATACATTCACATTGAATGTATTATTATACCTTTAGCACGAATGTGTTCTTCAAAAGCGCTAGACGTTATATTGCTGGTACTTGTGATACGACGAGTCAGTGTAGACACTGATGGGACTTCCACGTAATATGTCATAGATTGGGTAAACGATTCACAACATTTTTGATGTTAGATATATTATTATTCTGCCTTTGCAGAAATATTATGCTATATTATAATTATATTATTAACGGAGTAGACCAGAATTCAAAAAATAGGTTTATTCGAGTTTTCTTAAAAAAAATACATTAACTCATGTAACTTATATTTTTTAGCTTATTTATTAATATAATCTGTTGTAATAGCCGAATATTTGGGTTCAAGTGTCACCTGACAAACTTGATTTGTTTTGTCGCTATGAAAGTTCCTAGCTGGATGACTGAAATAGAATTATTATCCGTTTTTAACGGGTTTATCCAAATCCTTCTTCACAGTATTTCTAAAGGCATGTGAAGCCACTTCAATTTTCAAAAGGACTAGCCGTCTCTGCCCTCAAATATATCGTTTACATTTTTATATCTCCCACAATTTTATGGTAGATCAAGATACTATCAAAGCCATTATTACGCAAATAAATATGTAAATCCAGTAATCTAAGACCAACTTACCAATACACAGATTAACCATATTCATTAACTAGAAAAGGAACAAGATGATAACCGCTTTCTTCTTTCGTCAATGAAAAGAACTATACCGATAGTTCGTGCCACGAGTGATTAAAATACTTGCAGGTTTTAGATTCTCATCATCATAATACAACAACAAAAGTTTGTTGGAAATAACTAATTGTATCGTCTGTTTAAATGGGACTCGCCTATGTTAGCCTGTCCCTGAAACTGTGATGTTCAGTTTCAGATAATTTGGTCAGGGAGCACAAACAAATTTGTTGAATCGTGACTTTTACGTGTCCTGAATGATGTCATATGATGATCGTATGAAGATAAAATTGGTTTGTGAGGAAAAGCAAGATTCCTTACTGAACGATAGGCTTTCTTTCCTTCAGCAGTTATCTACTATTTAACTCTTGATGGAGTTAATCTCTGTCACAAGTAGTAGTAAGCAGAGAAGGGCTTACGCGATGTTAAGAATGCCATCTAACACATACGGACTTTAACAAATAAACGCCAACTAAATTAACCATTCAAACAATTAGAATTCTACCCGGCGGTTATAGATTCTTGACGAAAAATAGTTATAACGTCTCGTGGTGAAAAAGAGTTTCCGCTAACCATCTCAGCCGATGAACCTTCTGACAACTAGGGAAACAGTTAACATGTGTACATGGAGAGGATGTACGATATAGAGTCAGGAGGATCCTTCGAGTAGCCCCATTAATTGTAAAATATAACATAGTGGTTTACCAAAAGAGCCAAACTAGCTGGGCTTTACAGAAAATGCTAATCTGAAAAAGGTGTGATTAAACTATTTTCATGAAGATGAAGATGCCATGTGTACACAAAGAGATAAACTGTGATCTTTCAAAGAAGCACTAAAAGCATTTATGAAGTGAAAATTTCATGGATTCATCTACAAGTGATTCATTTAAACAAAGAAAGGATAAGTTACAATCAGTATTATCCAGTACTATGCTTTCACCAATGATAGCTCTGGAGACGACAAGGTTCAGTTTTATGAGAGGTTTTAGTCGATTGTAGAGAAGCGACCAGAAGAGGATGTGACCATCACATTTGGAGACCTGAATGCATGCGGATACATGACCGAGTTCCTTCAGCTGGGTGAGTCCATTAAAACCAATGTGGTCAGTATCCAATGTCGAAGAATTGCAGAGCTGTTGAATTGAGGATTTATTTGCCACTACAACTGGATCCCCAGTGATATGTTGAGCATGATTTTGGACAAGGAATATAAATAAGCATCCAACAGCTACAAAATTGGATCAGATTAAGGTAAGGCACATACTTTTTAGGAAAATTAGCAAAGAAGAGCATTAGTTCTGACAAGCGAAAATATGCGAAGACTTGGTAAATACAGCAGAAAAATCTGTATGAAGGGGAAGCATGAAACAACTACATAATGCAAATAGGGAGCGAGTGGAGAAATATAGTAGACCGGAGAGATCAGTCAAGGATTGAAATTCGTGAGAAGTGGTACAGATTAGATGAAAACTTAGGATAGATCTTCTGTAAGCAACCCTTGCTGGAAACACGGAATATAAGAGCGTCCCTTACAAAATTTACTACAGAAGAATCACACTACAGTCAGTATCAAACAAGGTTTTGAAAAGTTTCGCTTAATTCAAAGAACTATTCAAAAGACGCCGAACTCTGAAACCAACATTCTGGCTTTCACAAGGATCGATTGCGCGCCGACAACTTGAGATACTATAGATCCTTGTTCGACCAAGAACTTAGTAAAACGCGTCGGTATACATTAACGTCTCTGAATATGAGAAAGCGCTAAATAAAGTACGGAGTGTGCTTCGACACTGTGATGCACTGAAAGAGATTAATATCATCATACGATATATTGACGAGAATCTGGGTTTGAAATTCTTGCACATAGAGAAGCTCAGAGGTATCTACCTAGTAAAGACCGGTTTCAGAATATGCTGCTGTTTTTACTATCTCTTATTGTAGTTGTTGGTTGGATCATAAAGGCTCTCATAACACAGAGGAAACATGGAATATAGTTGAAATTATGGACAAAACTACACTATTCGGACTAGGCAGATTGATTAGGCTTTTTACCCCATACGCGGAAACTGCCCGGGAATTACTAGACACCATACTGACAGGCCTTAACAGGAGCAAGGAAAATGCAAGATCCTGAAGTGAAGCGCAGTAGGCAGAAGTCAAATTGAAGTAGATGGTGAAGCTCCGGGAGAGACGACATCATTTATAAGCATATGCGGGATCATTGATAGACTAGGAAGCAACTGTCAGCGTAAAAGCTTCATTCTAACGATCGAACTCAAGAGAATTATCAGATAGAAATAAAGTCAAAATTTTTGAAGATATGTTTGCTGTAGGTGTAACGAAGATCAGTTAATCTTATGTTCATCAAATACGATCAGTTTGTTTAACATTTCTAGTATAAGCAGCACCTTTTCAAAAAGGAGGAAATGATTTTAGAGGTCCTAAGTTTAGTTGCGAGTTTGCCTTTTCATCTAGGTTTGCATTCTGAGATTTATATACTGCTTTCGTAAATTTTAGAAGCTCTTGAGTGCTATATTTGTACAAATGAGGAGGGAAACTGGAATGATTGCATTAGAACTATCCAAACTTGCGAACCTTTACAAGATACCTGCCAGTCTATTGTTCAGTATCGAAGTAACCGAATGTTTTCTTTCTGACATTATAGCTCCTTCTTTCTGGACTGTCCTGGCTGAGAGAAGGGCATTTGTTACAAAAGGCTGCACAACAACATCAGCTTGTCAAATGATGTCATCTGTCATCTCAGAGCGTTGTTCCAGATCGAAAACTCGAGACTGGATTTGTTCTTACTGCTGTAACAGTGATCGTTGCAATTATTATGTACCTGTAAGTTATTTTACAGACTATCATTTAGGGTTTTCTTTTTAATAATAATTATTACTTGTTAGACAAGCATCTCGGTTGAAGGTAATGTAAACAATTTTTGGAGAAAAAATGAATAAATCTATTTGCTCTCCAACTTTACGATCAATAAAGAAACAATAATCCTCTTTACGCTTGATTTTACAACAATAAAATATGTAAGGTACGAAAATATGAATACCGTTACATTCCTCCTTTTACCATTAATATCTATCTCATAATACTGACATCAAATAACCCACTCGGAATCGAATTGAACTGGAGAGTAAAAATTTTAAAACACAAGTCATTAAACATTGGAAATCCCATAGTTATCAGTCTAAACGTGTTGTTACAGTTATAAAAGTTCAGCGAAATTTGAGTTAGATTAAGTCAGTGACAAGTAAACGTTATTGCTGAGCGCCAATAATTTATAACTATGAGCCAGTTCAGTGATGAAAAGCTTGCTTGTAGTTTCTATAATTTTCCAAACTGATTTTAAGAATTTTTCTGTGCTTTGATTCTCAAGGTTCACCGTGTATGAAAGTTGTACTACATTTATTGTGCTACATTTAAACATACTGTGCACACATAAGTTATTGTATAATAAACATAATTAGAGATGTGTCTTTTACATTCTTCAAAAAAACTAAGCTAACTTCATCATATCATCCCATACATAGTGACCATAAGTGTCACTTAACTAAACCCTTATAATGTACGAAAGTGTAAATGAGCCTGTTTACTCACAATGGACTCTAAATATTGTTTATTCTCTTTTTAAAAAATTTTAATGTTTACATACTCACGCTTAAATGTTTTTGATTTCTTATGGTTATTTGCATAAACATGTCTTTATTTGTGACGTAGGGAGGCGCTCTACGGATATGGAGTCCTCATACCTATACAATGTTGTTCATCGTCTGTCTGTGTAGCATATTTTGGAAATTTGTATGATCATATACGCAGTTGAAATAACTGTGAAAATGTAAGTAAACAGTCACATTTTATGAATACAAGTTTTCCGAAACGAAGCAAATATGTTCTTCTATCTAATTAGTCAACCATTGTTTTGCTGTATAAAGCTGACACTTTACAATAAAATGTGATAAAATAAGAACATTTACGCTCAACAGAACCTCAGAATAACCAAACCTTTCTCGTTCATTAAAATCCAGAACGTGCTTGCTTTTTAAGTCTCACATCACTATCCAGTCTCTTTTGCTTCAGAGAATTTGTTATTTTTTCTGTTGACTAGCTATAAGTCTCTTACAGTAACATACTAACAAGTTGTTGCAAGGAATGTTAATATTCGTTAACAGCAATATAACAAAAAGGTAGTGCACACAAAAATAAACCTGAATTAACCTCTTTTGAATTCAAAATACGATAAACTCCACAGATTGATGAATTAAAATTCGAAGCACCATATATAGATTAACTTTACGGGATTTGTCTTGTAAAAAAAATACAGTAAGCAAAAGGCTTGTACGTTTGTGTACTACAATTGTTAAAATCCTTTGTTTAAAAAGCTGCTGGGTCCAGCTTACCAGTCCCAAATGTCTAAATTTAATGTGGATAATACTAAAGACTGGGATTGATTAATCTAAAAGATCTATTCAGTGATACCATAACTACAGACAACAGAATAAAATCCACACTGACAGAAGCTTTTAAATAACTAATGAAATTTTAATCACTCATTCGTCTTCTATGTATCTACTGATTATGTCTTCTGGAAAGACACCACTCAGTCTAGAGGACATAACACCTTCAAAAACAAACATTCTGATATGGGGATCGATCGCTAAAATGAAGTCACTGTTAAAATATCTTAAAATAGAAGTAAGTGGTTATCAATGTTTCTTAGGCGAACCATTAAAAGTTCATAACATCGGCTAAACTTATTTTTTTGGACATTATAATCAAAAAAAAATTAAGGTTTAGAGAATATCTCTAATGATCTGCAGTACTCTCTTGAAAATGAATTCGTTGACAAGCGCAATTCATGTAAAACAATATTTTCCGTCCCGTTATACGAATCTTGGTTTAGTTTTTCATCCAGACATTGATTCGTATTACTCTTTGTATCCCAATAACTACGTGATTAGATCATTATCTGACAGATATGTCCATATAAAATGCCTCAATAATTTAGTTTCTTTATTAAGAATAGAATACATTTGCTGTTCAAACTGTGGAGTTGAAAGTTAAGTAGAAATATGAGTTGCAGTGTCCTGTTCATAAAGTTGTTGTAAATACTGTACGTATATGTGCATTGTCTGAAAGAGTTGAAAAATTTCTTTTTTTTAGATTTCACGTCGGAAAATACTTCTGCTGTTGAACATCAAAATACTCAGTATCCCTTTTTCTAAATAAATATGAGTGACTTAATTCCTATCAACAAATATATAGATATAACTAATTTGTGAGCATAATCATATAAATGTGACCATGTTAAGCCAAATAACTACATCGATTAGCACTGTGCCTTACATGAAAACCATCTTTATGAAAATAAAAAAGAACGAACACTTTTACCCTTGTAACTTTATTTCCAGTAACAAAATTGTACATTCTTAAAAAAATGTAAATATAACATGCACATTTCTTTGTTATTTCGGTTACAATAATAAATTTCAGCTGTTCTCCAAACTCTTGGTTTTTTATGTTGTCCAATAAACAGCGGCTATTTCCAAACAGCATAATCTAATTTCGTTAATACTGATCAACAAAATCTTATAGCTAGCCTCTTTACCTTACCATGAGTAATGTAAAACTTCCTTACACTTAGTTCTTAGGACCATGTCTCTTGTGTAACCATACACTAAATCATGTGAAAGTTTTGTCATAAGGGACGTTTAATATTTATTGTTTGAAACACAAATACACGTTGAGCACAATTCACGTAATTTAAGGCATACCCAGGGATGTTTTGATTATCTCTTAAGGTCCTCCGTATAACATGACTTTACTGATGTACGAATTGTCTTGTTCTCCAAGACAAGTACCTTTGCGCAACGGCATTCTAGCTGACCAATAACAGAGTAAGGTTTTTCAGTCCAAATCGACAATGTAAGAGCTGAGTAGACTATTCCCAAACATTATTTGCGCCTTGTAAATGAGCTTCCTAAACGAACGTTTCCTCATATTACAGAGTAAACCCATTTCTAGCAGAAAAACCTGTCATTCACGTCAACCCTATACACCTGTCGTAATTTTATTACTTTTATTAATAAACCCAATATAACCATCTGCTAACATCAACTTGGCTAAAAGCCCTTCAAGGTAGGCTTTGTATATCGTAGTCCAGACCATTTAATTACTACAATACTTTTTCATTCGATGAGAAACAACCTAATAGCCCATGTCATATAGTGTTACTGATTATGTTTATTTACTCCCGATATGATCAGTCATGACTTTGCATTAAAATTCTAAGAGTCGCTCTTCAAATCATTCATTTGTGAACGAAATAATAATTGAGTAACCGTACAGTACTATATTGTCATTAGCCCCGCTTTCAGGACTGTATATTTGAACGAATACTAAGTTCTGCTTTTGTTCATGAAATCTCTGTAGCAATTTTCATTTATCTACACTAAAAAACACAGGGATCCAGGCAGAATTTTAGTAAACAAGAAGCCTAGTAAAGGTGTCTGTAAAGTCATTCTTATCATGTAAATTATACCATGTTATTATATAGGATAGTACAAGAAATACTTATATTTGTTTTGTAATATAGAAGCTAAATGTTATGATTTAAATATAGAAATTCTACTGAAAGATAAATACTTGCAGCAAGTTTACTCGCCCGATATTAAACAAATTGAATTTGTGATGAAATAGTCTCATAACGTAAAATGATATTTTCACAACAATATGGGATTTTAGTATTTACGATTTCCCTCAAAATGTGATCACAATGAACATGTAGAACTTTTATTTACTAAGACAGTATATCAATACTAAGAAATTGCAGTATTTGTAATATTGAAGATTTCTCTGAATATATACTTTTTCTTTTAAGTAAATAAACAGCGTTTAGACACATTATACGGATAACTTGAACTGATTGTAGTAGAAATTTCTTTTTAGTACTATTTAGATCTGAGAGTACAGTTCTAATCCCTCGATATTTAACTCAGAAATATACGTATAATTTGGAAAATAACCAGACATGTTTATTTCAACTGATAACTTGGACGAATAGTAAAGTCTCCAACCGTAGATTAAGATGTTATTCTAAAGGCCTGAATTTCCCGACATACACAATCAGTTCAAATGTCAATAACTTCATGAATTGATACCATGACTTTCACAGATCACCTCTTAATAATTTTTCTTACTTCCAACCGACTTTTCTATACCTATTAGCACTGTACGTCGACGTGTCAACACCGACTAACATCTACAAATACTAAAGCCATAAAACATGGTTGTTAATTTTCCTTCACTAAATTATCAATAACAAATCAATGTACAGTTTAATAACACCAATAAAAAGACTATTTTCTTTAGTTGTGTAATATTGGATATAACTGGGTATAACAAGTATTGTATGATCATCAACAAAGAATTAGAATATTGTGATTAATTTAAACAAGAATTAAGATGAACAATGAAAACTAAAAAAAGAAAAGATAAACACACATAAAAACCATAGACAAACAACTCAACAAAAATAAAATACAATGGGATATTTATGTTAGTTAGGAAGTTTCCGGCTTCTATAAACGAAATAAACGAAATTCAATATACATTTAACGCTATTAGGTCAATTTAAAACAAGTAAACTGTATTGTTTGTTTATTTGCTTTTGAAAGAAAAATTATTCACCATTTAAAAATCTTTAATAAAATATATCAGAAATTGTAATGACTACGGATAACATTAGGTTAATCATGTGTAGAGATTAATAATCATTTAAATTTACAAAGAATAATAGACAAGTCAATTCTATATAACTGACTGTATGTTGTTTTCACAGAGAATATATACAACCATAAGTGTCTTTTTCATTTATCCAAAGTCTGTAAAGAAATCGAAATAATTTATTATCATATATATACAAATATTTGGTAGACATAAAATAACTGTCTTAATTAATTGCTTTCTACATACAGGTTGGAAGAAAGCTAGAGGCGGTCAGACCAAAACATGGCACAAACCCATGAAGTCACTAACAAGTGAACTGAGCTATTTTGGTAGGTGCAGACAAGCTGGTTATGATCCGCAACCGATGGTTAGAGACCTTGAATGACATGGCTCAAAATCATTTGGCAATGGCGCACGTGCATCCACTTTTTGTGTTCTCCCAAATTCTAATCTTCTAAATTCTTCATATTTCTTTTTTCTCTTTCCAAATTTATTTCACTGGATTATACTCCTTGAATGATATCTTCGAACCCTAACCTTTCCGATGACTGCTTATACTTTTACTGCCTTTACTACTACGGGACTTGAATCGACAATTGTATCTCTGTGCTAGCGTGGTATGGCAACTCGAACTGATGTACGTACGTACGAAATTCTACGTTGTTACCGACTGACTAACCTACCTCATCTAAAAGATTGAAAAGTAATGCTTATCTTACTAAAAACACAGAACTTAGTTGTCTAAGCTACACATACTCATAGTGTAGTGAACGAGAACATAAGTGGGGACAATCGAATGTATTTGAACACAAAATTACAGAACATCTTACTAAAATCTGAGAATCATACAGTAAATACTTCATTTGTAAAATACCAATCCATTGTCTTAAATTTGACTGTTCCATTTGCAAATATTAATCAATCGTCTGATACTTTATTGTTCCTGCATTTTCATACCAATTACTTCCTATTCTCAATCTTCTGCTGCCAGACATTCTAATCCTGAAGATCGTTATATACTACTCATGTCTATTTAAGTAGCACACACCACACAATGGTAGTATATGATGGTTGATAATACTAACATTAGACAACTGTTTAAATTGAAATAGATATGTAAAAGGACTTGAATTTGCAATTTAACCGTCTAAATTTGAATGCTTTTTAACTGTTAAGTCATTATTTTAAAACAGAATGAGAAATAAATTCGAATTCAATGAAATCAACACATAACATTTGATTCTGGTTGATTGAACTACATAACCAGTGTACAGCAAACTATCAGTCAACGTGTAATAATATAATAATACTTAAAAATTTACTAATATTCCCTTGATTAACCTTTAAAATGACCAACGTGATTCACATTGCACAAGCTACAACAAGTTGAATAATTAATTCGAAAGGTCAACGATAACAGAAAAGTGATTATCCGAGATTTTTTTCATGTCTCTAGTTGTGACATTTAGTAGAATCTGAACAGATGCAACTATTTTGACTGCTGTCGCAACTAGTAATGAGACTTAGATTTACAGTTTTCAACTGACTACTTTCAACTACATATCATCAAAGAGAAAGTATAAATCCAAAATTGATCTTGATATTCTAATATTATTTCATGTTTAAATTATCTACATTAATCTGCGTAGTTAATAGTTAGTGTACAATCAGTCTTCAACGAATGCGACGTGAATCTTGAAATATAACATTATTTATAAAAAAAAAGATACACAACAATTGCTCTGAGCTTGATCGGTTTAATCTTCAAAAAAACCCCACAAAATTGTAAACATGCCTAGTGAGTGTGAATCTTCACAGGCACAGAAGAAAGAAACTTACGAAATACGGAAATGGAGAGAGAGTGAAATTTAATCAACTTACAAAAAAGATATTTTTTTGCATTGGGATAAAATAACTCAACAGGACATTATTGTACATTTCTTTTCCATCAGTTCCTTTTTCGTGACCGACTAGTAGTTACTTTAGGGTTGATTGTCATTGGTAGATTACTATTACGATTATTATCGAGCTTACCAATCGAAGAAGTTGGGTTATTATATTTTGATTGTTTACCTACAGTATTACCAACGTCAGCTTTCATATTTTTAAGTCTATGATCATTATCAACATCATTGCCATTATCGTCGTTGTCTTCATTCTCTTGATCGAATAAATATAATCGACGAAATTGACGTTTATTATTTTTTGAATTGGATATTTGTGCATCGAATGGAGGCTGATTTTCATTACATCTAAAAAAAATAAATAAACAAATTGTAACATGGATTAAATACCATAACCGACCATTTTTCCAAAAGTAATAATCGATCACTATAGGTGATGATGTAAGCACATACAAGTCACGTAGCATAACCATGATTACTGTGTTAAAGGAGTTGACAATGAGATCAAGAAAACAATATTTGCATGGGATATATAAAAATCTGCAACGGAAAATCTTAAGTATCTGAGCTGATGTTAATATTCACTCAATAAAATCCTTTTACACAGGTCTGATTTTTCCGTAACTGAGCAACCAGGGTATCCTCAAGTACTTGGTTAGCATCACAATTTTTGACACGGACGAGATTCAGTTGATGATAGCATCTAAGTTGCAATCAGTTTCAGCATAGAGATAACGACAAATTGATATTATTTTCTTTGTCTGTTGCTTTTTTATTCAGTAACGAGTTTTAGCCCGACAGCATAAAAAATATTTTGATAGACGAAGCAATCCATTCTTTCCGCTTTCATTCGAGTGTCTTATGTCAAAAGATTCCTCAATACGTGCATATGTGAGAGCCAGAATTACGAAAGATTTAGATATTCAAGTATGAAATTAAACATAAACGAACTAAATAGACGATTTTTGGGACAGATTTAATATTCCAAAAGGGTGTCAAAATTATGACAGAACGGCCCCGTTCATTGTTGAAATAAATATTGAACCTTTAGATGCATTAAAAATAGAAAACTAAAGGCGAGAAAAACTAATCAGACATCAATAACGATCAATGCACAAATGTGAAACTGGAAGTTATCGATGACATCTTTGAATAACAGAACTGCTATTTAATTAAAAGGAGTGGATAATTTGAAGTCTGCCCAGCAATATGAAATATCATTTTAACGAACCAGTTGGAGAAAATAAGCACAGAACTATTTAACCGAAATCGTGTAAACGAGTATTCTAAACACGGACGACAATACATAGATATCAAGAAAACTATATCCATAATAACTGGTCACTAAAATCAGATTCATGTGTTATTCACAGTTTTTAGGCTGGTTAAATCTATTATGCACTAATGATTTGAAATGAAAATTCAGACCGTTTACACTGACCACTTACATCTAACGACTCGGTTTAAGAGCCGGATGTCTGCTTTAAACTTTATACATGAAACATTGGAGCACTATAACTTAATGGTTAAAGCTATAAACTTTTAACGAGTTGTGGATATTAACTGCCGCGCTTCATAGAATTTGGTTTTCATACTCTTTGTACAACTAAAGTGTATGTATACAAATCTTTACTACGTAAATGATGATTCTGATTAGATACAAATTTATAATCTACCTTATTACTATGAGAATCGTTATTATAAACTGCTTTAATAGTCTTCTAATCTAACTCTCAATTAACCTTAAAATTTCTTAATATCTGTTAAAACAAAAAATAAACTTACATTGAAGTCAAGACAACTGAAAGACGACGGTGTTCATCTACAATATAATTATTCTTTACGACAGAATTGAGTTTATCATTTTCTTGTTGTTGTAATTCACCAAGAACAGAACGTTTTCTTGTCGTCAACGCCATCTTGACAGTGGTATCTTTTTGGGCTTTAGTGTTTGAGTTCACTTGGTGTTGTCGTTCTTCTTTATGCTTAATGCGTAAATCATTTAAAGTAGGTGGAAGAACAGATAGATCAGCAGTTCGATTCATTGATAAATCAAAAATATTCTACAATTAAATTGTAATTTGAGATGATGAAGATATTTAAGGTTGGAAAGAAATGTAAGTGTGAAAACCATGTTATAATAATAATAATAAACACAATTTAAATTAGAACATACAAAAGTGGATTTTTTTTATTGAGACCATGAGCCAATTAACGCTATACCATCACCGCAAACCTGAGAGCGCTAAACGGCCGTTTTGTATTAGTAAGGGACTCTTCAACAGTGCGCATCTACAATCCCCCAAGGCAGGACTCGAACCCGATAACTTCGGTCTTACGCGGACGATTAACTTCGAGGCCACTGAGCTGGCATTTAACAGTGTCTAACTTGAGTTAATCAGGTTGGTTAGGTTATATAATACTTAAAATCTTATCTAAAATTGATTTATTGCAAGAAGGATCTTTACATGTCAATATAACCTTGTCTAATCGAGCCAAACCGAAGAATATCCAAGTACATATATTATCCCTGAAACGTTAATGGATTTTAAGTTTTCAACCCCATTAGTTATACATGGAACTTAACGACAATGTGAAAGCACCCGGTGGTTCAAACATAGTGGTAGAGTTGGGGTGAAGATAAGAACTTCATAACTGAATGTGTAAAATAAAAATTGGCTCGAAACTAAGAGCCGGAAATCCCATTACAAATACACACAAATGTGATATTCATTTTCAGAGAATTTACTTCAACGGACGCTGTAATAACTAGATATTATAATTCATGCATCTGGCTAGTTGTATGACTTATCACTTGGTTTTTACCAACTTGCGTCACCTGTGTCGTGAGAGTTCTGTGTAGCAATTGAAGGACGATTATATTGTGAAATAGTTTGTTTTATTCTGCTTAGTGGCTGTGAAGTGGGCTTTAAGAATAGAGGATACTCGTAGATTACTAATATCTGATCACTGATTCCTTCAGAACATTGTTCACGTACAATGGGATCATCTAACCAGTAATATTGAAATTAAAACAGAGCACCTTGTTAAGATGGTAAATTGGTTGGTGAGTTAGTGAGACTTTCATAAACTAGTACGTTCGGAATATGGAACATATGACCAGGCACCATCTACTTCAACGCGTGATATTCACTTACATAATAGCTCGAGAGAAAGCTAGAGGAAACCCAACCAAAACGTGGTATCAATCCATAAAGTCATTGACAGATGGACATGGTTGTGTAAGTAAATGTTTACTTCCTGGAGTTCACGAATTGGCCGCGGCCAGTGGTTGCAGGTGTTAGATAATATGATTTACAATCGGCCTCAATTACACAGATATATTCACTATTTGTTTCAAAATACTTATACTTTCTATTCCGCAAACTAATTGTTTTTTTCTTCTGTGCCTAATCTTTTCTATTACTACTTTTAAAGCCCAGATACATCTCTTTATAATTCCATTTCACTGTGTTGATATATTGTGATAACCTGAATCGATACAAATATGCTTCATGTCCAACTTTTCTTATAATTAACTACAAAACTTATTAGATTAAAATTGAATCCTCTACAAAACAATATTTCACTTCCTTTTTGTAATGAGAAAAATATAAAAATGTTAATTCTATAAGAAACATGATTTAATCAAACAAAAGCTTTGTGTACGTTGACTTATATTCGAACTTGTTCTATAAGGGTCAGTTTTATATTAAATACCAAGAAAAAAAATAACTTACCACTGTTTTAACTTCAGTTCCAACTACTTTTGGCATTTTTTTAAATTCATTACTATTCACTTCTTTGTTAGTGTTATCATTGTTACTATTAATATTAGCAGTAGCAGAAGTGGTAGTAGTAGTATGAGGTTTTGATTTCGATCGTGACTGTTGATTGATTGTCGTTGTTGGTAATTTCGACTTGGATCGAGTTGTCTGTTTGTTTGTGTAATGATCACTGACACCAGCTGTTGATGATGGATTGACATTTTTTGAATCAACTCTAAATACAAGTTCACCAGGTCGACGGAAACAAGTTTCAATAACTCGGCCACCTCCATCCTCATCGCCACCAACAACACCAATATTATTTTCTAATTTATTGACATCATCTTCACCTTCTTCATCATCACTATCTTTGACACGAATCAAACGATGTTTACCTGATTTTTTCTTCTTTTCTTTTGTCGTTGTTGTTTTAACAATAAACGAATCCATGAAAGATGATGTGTCAATGATTGGTTTTGAATTTAGACGAGCTTGACGCACTAAATGAGGTCGAGCTGATTGTATTGCATGATGATCAACAGGGTTAACTACATATTCCTTGTTCTTACTACAGCAACTATTAACAAGATCAGGAACGACGAGTTGATCGATATTCTTTGAATCAACGACGGAAGGTTTATTTACAGAAATACACGATTGTGGTAGACTTTGAACTGAAAACTTTATAGGACTAATGTTTTTGTGAGTATTATCATTATCATTATCTAAATCAACATTATTTACGTTAGTGTCTACTATTGGAAGACATCTTTTGCTTGTAATATTATTTTCAGAAATACAAGTTATTGGACTGGTCAGTATTTCAGGTAAAACTTCACAAGATGGTACTACTACTACTACTGTAGTTGTTGCAATGAAAATGATTTTAATGAAAAGAAACAGTGATAAGGAAGTCATTAAAAATTTAAGATCACTAGAAAATGCAATCATAAAGAGCATAGGAACAAAAACCTGCGTAAAATGAGACCACTGAAAGTAAACCGTTGATCATTAAATGTAATGATAAAGACAGAAAGAGAGAGACACAATATTAATGACATCATGTATTTTGCAATATATTTTTTTCAACTGATTTAATTATGCGTCTAGTTAAATACACAATACTCTCTACTCGACCTTTAATAAGAAAACTTACAGTCCATATTACATGGAGCTGTTTAACTGCAAAATTCAAATACGAACACCACAATAGGTGGAAGTTGATAAGTCTTGTCATTTGAACGTTTATTTTGGTTTTTAAGCTATTCTTGAGACCCCCAAGCTAGAACTATATAGCAACCTGGACACGAGAGAAAAGGAGCAAAGTATGCGAAAAGTACTTTACTCCAAGGTTCATTTTTGTACAGGAAAACACGGGTATTTATAGATGCTAACATTTGTTAAATCAACATCATATTTTGGCCAATCCGCTAAAAGACATATTATGCTACTGACCAATAGTAGCACGCCTCGTTGGTATTCTAGAAAGCTCCATCATGCTTTGATTAGCTTGGACTCTTCGACTCCTTCAGGGCCTCTGGAGGCTCCGTTGCAGTTCTCGGAAAGCCGACTCAACAGAAGTATATTGTTTACACTTTGGAGAAAAGACTAGTGATTACAATGAAGTTCATGCATTGAACATATTATTAACAGTAAACTTTGTTAGGAACGTTTGTAGATGATTGTTATGAATGGGAAGTAGTCACAGTTGGAAAACTTTTTAATTACAATTTTTTATACTCACAGGTTAATTGAATGCATAAGACAAGAATTTCGTTGGGAATATTATATATTTTATACTGAGGACTTCTTATTGTAATCAAACACTCGATATTAAACAAAGCCATTTTAGTAAAGGTTGTTAATTATAGTTGATAAGTTTATAATTTTACAATTAAGAACGTTTGAACACAAAAGCTAGAATGCTATGCTGGTTGATTAATTATAAATCTAAAGAAGAACCTTAGACTATATAAAATAAGATGGTTAGAATACTCTCGACGAGTTCAAAGATTTCTATTTGAAGTTCACATGGTTATGGTAATTTATGGTTGGAAGCAATACGGTAAGACATGACTCATAAAATTATTAACCATGATTAAAATACATTGTTTTTTTATTCTTCTCTCAACTATAAAGTTTATATATCATTCGTCTAAACATCTTATGAACTGATTTTATCCATACTCTTGATGTCTAATTTCTTACTGAAATCGCTACTCATTTAGTTAGTCATACAGTAAAGTAAAAACCTGGTACACATGTTCAACACGAAATAAGAACAGTGATTATCAAAGTAGTATAGAAGTAGTAATCGTATCAGTGGTACTAGAAAAGATTAGATGTAGGCACTATGATTCAGACCACAATCAAGTAATCTACATATACTAACATAGTTCAGACCAGTAAATAATCTCTTCACCTTTCTGCATCATTTCAATTTTAATATGTATCAACGAAGTGAGCACTACTGTAATAAATGAAAACTTGGGTGGAGGTAAACCAATTTATTGTATTACGCAAAATCATAGTGTCTTTAAAATATGAAAATACATTAAATCCATCATTTGCCAGTCTTTCTTGAGTTATTCCTTACAAACTCTGTCATTCTTTTATCCTGTTGTTATTTTGTTCCCCTTTTGTTTTCCTTTCTCTTCTCTTCATTTTCCTTGCCTGTCCGTAAGAATTCTACTTTCAGTTTCCGACACGTACTACTTATATCTGCCCGTGCAAGTAGTGCACACCACACCACACTACTACTACTACTACTACTACTACTACTACTACTACTACTACTACTACTACTACTACTACTACTACTACTACTACTACTACTGTAAGCAGTGTCTTTTTTCTTTAACCTGTTAACTGTCTTTCTTGTTATGCGAATAGTGAACAAATATATCAAGTTCTACATTAGTGTTTATGATTATGAATTAAATTAGGACAGTCTCTTTGTAGTTTACCAACTTTTAAAGGGTAAGACGTTATCAACTGGCATATAACAATCTTCGACGATTAGACATGTGAGATAAAATGGAAAAAAATTGGTCATATTAGTCCTATAGAATCCTATCGATATTTTTAATTAGATTGCAGGTATATCATGGAGAACATAACTAAATATTTCCCAGTTCAAACATTCTAATTCTAACAAGCATGTTAATAGTTTACATAGAAAATTAAAAATTTCAGCAATTATGTAATATCGGAATGGGGTTTTGTGGAGATTTTAGAAATTTCAACAGGTGAGATCATGAGTCGATTGAGGCTAGACCACAATGAAAAACCTGGAAGCACTGGACGGCCGTTTCGTCCTAGTATGGGACTTCTCAGCAGTGGGCATCCACGATCCTGCCCCCCATGTGAGTTTCGAATACAGGACCTATCAGACTCGCGAGCGAGCGCTTAACCATTAGAACACTGTGAGATCGTGGATGTGTATGCTGAGGAGTTCCACACTAGGACAAAACGGCCGTCCAGTGCTTCCAGGTTTTCCATGGTTGTTTAGCTCCAATCGACTCATGATTTCAACTATTGAAATTATGTAATACTTAAAAATAATGCCATTCAGTTATTCATAACAGAAATTGATGAGGGAAGGAGTGAATTCATATATATTAATCCATTTACTGTAATTAAGACATCCTACAAGGGAGGGATGTACTTAGCATATAAATTATAAAATCAGGTTTAATCTACATGGAATATTTTCTTTATTAAGAGAATAAACATTGTTAATAAGGAATATTTAATTTTAATGATAAAAAACCAATAACTTACATGGTTCCTGACGAATAGACTGTGATGATTTTACGTCAGTATTTAATGTTTCAATAAGAGGCATCGGTTGTATCTAGAAAAAAAAATCTTTTTCCAAATGAAAATGTCTCATATAGAATAGTTGATGGTGAAAAACTATATAAAGGTCAAACAATAACAACATATGACTTAGTGTAAACATGTCAAGACAGAAGTTCGGTGATCAAATAATAATACTCTAGTTCTCTATAAGAACTAAATGCATTACTGTAGAACTCTAAAGTAACTCTACTGTAGACCAACTATACCATCCCATCCATAGTGACATAACTTTAAAACGTGGCTTACAATAGATGTTGCTGCTATCGAAAACTTAATAACTTCGCAAGTTGCAGATAGTTTAGGTCAACCATTCATAAATGTTGATCCTGAGAAATAGGCTACAGTGCAATTTCAGGATTCCTTAAAAAAGCAGATTCACAGAAAACTCATATCATACTAATGATCAATCACATAGCTCATATGCTGAGAAGTTTTATAAAAAATCATTTGTGACTCACTCTGTGATTACCAGTGGAAGTAGTATTGCATAACAAACTTATGTTTATTTATCTTGATTTACCCTTTAATAGTTTTTTTTATTGCTTAAAAGAGTGAATTGGTGGAGTTAAAATCTAAGTTGAATATAACCAAATTTTTTGAACTGTTAAATCAAATCTCAACTTAATTGTGCAGCACTTGTAACGGATGGTAACTTAGCGAGGAGCGGGCTGGGTTTCGTTCTGGTCGAGGATGTATTGATCATATCTTTACCCTCCGCCAAGTGTTAGAACATCGCCATACTAATCAAAGGCCAACAATCGTAGTGTTTCTTGATATCAGGGCTGCCTTCGATTCGTTGGACAGAACTGTTCTCTGGGAGTGTCTATTGAAGAAGGGTGTGCCTGAGAAGTTTATTAACATCCTAAAGACTCTATATACAAACACCTCAGGCAGAGTGATGGCATACAACTACCTTTCTCCTTTATTCCATTCGAGCAGTGGGGTTAGGCAGGGTTGCCCAATCTCACCATTCCTCTTCAACTTTGCCATCGATGACATTCTGGAAACAGCTTTGACGGATGTAAGTAATGGTGGTGTGGATCTGTTGCCTGGAGAAAGACTTCTCGACCTTGAGTATGCGGATGATATTGTCTTACTGTGCGAGAATGCCCAAACTATGCAATCCGCACTTAATCAGTTGGCAATCAGTGTCCATAGGTATGGTATGTGCTTTGCACCTTCGAAGTGCAAAGTACTTCTACAAGACTGGCAGGATTCTAATCCTGTACTCACTCTGGATGGTGAGCAGATAGAAGTAGTCGAGAAGTTCGTGTATCTGGGTAGCTGCATAAGTGCTGGTGGTGGCGTGAGTGATGAGATCAATGCACGTATAGTGAAAGTCAGAGGGGCTTATGCCAATCTGGGCCATCTTTGGCGCCTTCGTGATGTTAGTCTGGCTGTAAAAGGTCGGATCTACAACGCGACGGTGAGAGCAGTTTTGCTCTATGCTTGTGAAACCTGGCCTCTCCGAGTTGAGGATGTTAGACGACTCTCTGTGTTCGATCATCGTTGTCTCCGAAGGATTGCTGGCATCCAGTGGCAACACCATGTCAGTAATGCAGAGGTTTGGCATCGTGTGTTCGGGCACAGAGACGATAATGAAATTGGTGTCACCATCTTGAAACACTGACTTCGGTGACTTGGACATGTTCTACGAATGTCGTCCCAGAGAATTCCTCATCGTGCATTATTTGCCGACTCTGGGACTGGTTGGAAAAAGCGGAGAGATGGTCAGTATATGACATGGTGTCGTGGTATGAAAGAAAGCTGCAAAGGGCTAGCTTCTGTTGGTCCTTCACGACTCCCTGGTTGGAGTCCGAGAGACGGTGTAACGCAGTGGCTAGAGACGTTATCAGATATGGCTAAGAATAGAAGCCAGTGGCGATCGTGCTGTAACCTCTTACTTTCTTCATAAAAAGTGTTTGTATCTTCCTTAACTGAAAGATCTCTTCTGATTGTACCTTTCCGTTTTCCCCATCATTGTTCTCTCTCTCTCTTTTTTTTTATAATTCCCCACGTTCACTACTTTTTTTTCTCTTTTCTCCTTCTCTTCAAATTATCATTGTTTTGTATGGCGCATATATATTTGGTGCCCCCCCTATACCAATATTTATGTGTTCAAATATATAATAAATAATAACTAAGTTAACCTAATATTAGTTATGAATAAGTATATATTGTTAGAGTAACGTTCTGTGTAGTCCAATTTGAGTGAACGAGTATTACTAATGATCTTCACAAAATGGCAGAATAACTCAAAACTGAGTACACAAACCTGTACTTGATAGATGAATTACCCTTTATCCATAGATTCCTAGTTATGGGGCATTAATAAAACTAACCAATAACTATTACTCAGACGACTAGCATTCATTGATCATGACTAAGCACTTGGACACCGTTTCATTTAGGTGTAACCTGTATTTGTTTAATTACCAATCATTAGATTTTGTTCTTTTCATCAGTGTGAATATCATTATTTTTATTTCTTTTTATGTGTGTACATGTTTTATTATACCTTATTCTACTTGACTAAATATTACTATTTTCTTTAATTTTATTGTTTCTAAAGACCAAGTTTTATATGTTTTACGTCAAGACTCATGTTAAACAGTTTTAGTTTAGAATAAGCTATAAAAAATATAACTGTAAGCAAAGTACAGTCCATGTACATGTTACGTATAGGCGTTAGTGATACGATACCATTCACATATTCAAACTACGAGTAGACGGAAACAGTAACAGTATAATGAACTGACGAGGCCGTTAGATTTATAATAACAATTACTAGTTTTGCGCGAAATTCGAAACACGATGACGGATAGTTTATTAAAAGGATCCTAAAGTTTAAAAATGTAAGAAATAACTGTTGAAGTATTCATCTATATGAATACAAAGCACTTTTTTTACTCTATTCCTAACTAGACCCAAAACCTAACTCCTAAGCTTTTTGGGAATCTTAAGTAATAAATTATCTATTTATACCACCTACATTCCGAATTTCATTCCATTCTTAAGATCACCTCGAATATTACTGACAGTCCTCAGTAAAGTGTACTTATACCACTGAAACTAAAGAATCTTGAAACCTGATTTATTATAGAGAAGAATTACCAGTCTAGTCAAAAGAATAGGGACGTAAACTGCTGAATAAGCTCACATCCTCAATATTATTGACAGTTTTCAATTTGTTACTTCATGTGAAAAGTAAAGTTGCACTACTAGTCAATTTTTCTTTTTAACTGGTAACTTACGTTCAATCTGTTATTGTTAATACGATTAGTGCTAATATTATTAGCAATACTTTGATCTTTAGGGCTGAATGCCATTTTCACCGGACCTGTTATTAATGAAGTGGATGATGATGGAGATTGAACTTCAGGATAAACAATAGATAGTTGACAAACATTCTCTTCTGTTATCTGTTGAGCAGGCTTTGTAAATTCTTTTCTAACAGAAACAATAATAATAATATTGATAATATCATTAATAACAATAAAGAATAAATGTAACTAATCTTCAAATTCCTCGTTTAATCTAACTCAACGTAACTCATTTACAAAGTACATGTATGTTTAATTTCTCAGTCATCTGAAGGACAATGGTATTACTACTGTAGTTAAGGAAAACTCAAGTACGGTAAACCAATTTATTGTCTTATGCAAAATCACACAGTGCCTTAGTAAAATATGAAAATCATACATTAAATACCTCATTTGCACATCTTTGCGTCGCCCTTTACATACTCCATTATTCTTCCAATTGTTGCTATTCCGACTGCTTTCCGTCTTCCTTCCTGTTCTATTCATTTCAATATTATGCTGATAAGCATTCCATTTCCTATTCCTGCTACATCCTACTTATATCTGTCTACAAAAGAGGCGGACACCACACTGCCACCCACCCACACAAACAGAAGTAGATGAAACAGATTTCAAGCTAACGATTACTACTACTCGTTAAAAGTTGAGTGCTTTAATCACTACTCAATACTAAGATACCGTCCCAATACCAAGAAAACTAACTGAAAAACAAGACTAGCAAACAATGTCATATAGGGAAAAACATCGGACAGAATTCCATCATAAGATGAACAGACAGTAGATATTCTGCAATCTGTTTGATGTCAATCTAAAATTATTCATAATAATCTACAACACTATTATAGTATGAAATAGATGAATTCAAGTTGAAATTAGTTTATTTAATACACAAATTCTGGTACAACTGGGCACTGAAGATATGAGCTACACAAATAAAAGAATAAGATTGAATAGAAATAAAGTAGGAGATGAGAGCGCAGGCAAAAACAAAATACGTAGACAAAAATAATTTAAGATAGGAGTAAGAATTTGGTTAAAAATACAACTAGCAAGGACTTCTTTTGGTTGGGACACACCCTTTAACTTTCATGGAAACTGCAGCAGGGTAGCCCCTGGATTTTAGTCTGACCCATGTTTGAACATGCCTCAAGCCGAAGGGTTACACCACCTTCGGGATTCCAACCGGGGTGTCGTGTTGAATGGACATATTCCAGTCATATAAAGTCCCTTTTCTTTCTTTCATAATGTAGTGCCGAGTCATAAACCAACCATTTCCACTCCTCCCCAGAGTCTGCAAATTATACACGATACAGAAGCCTCTGGGAATACATTCGTAAAACGTGTTCCAGCTACCAAACCCAGCGTTTGAATATGGCGACACCAAGTGAGTTATCGTCATTGTACCTGAACCCACATTATTGAACCTCTGCGATCCTTTGATGACCGAACACAGAGTTTTTAACATCCTCAACTCAGAGAGGCGAGGATTCACAAGTATAGAGCGAAATTCTCACCGACAAGTTGTACGCCCGACCTTTTACAGCCACAGGATTATTATGCCATAGCTAAAACTAGTCAATCAGTCTCGTGAAATGTGCATTATATCAAGTTGTCTTTATTTGAATCAACACAACAATGGAGGAAAATAACAAGTTGAAGTAATAAACAGTAGCAATAAAGGAAACAGATGAAGATAATATAACCCTAAGAAGAATGAATGAGATCAAGAGATATGAGAAAAATATATGAGAAAATTTGGAACTCCAGATTTAAGAGATACAATAAATCATGGGAATCAACTTTGTGTCACTACCAATAAAGCTACACTATAGAGAGCAGATTAAAGTGAATATTTATTTATTTATTATTTATTTGAGCACATAAATATTGGTACAGGGGGGCACCAAATATATATGCGCCACACAAAACAATGATAATTTGAAGAGAAGGAGAAAAGAGAAAAAAAAGTAGTGAACGTGGGGAATTATAAAAAAAAAGAGAGAGAGAGAACAATGATGGGGAAAACGGAAAGGTACAATCAGAAGAGATCTTTCAGTTAAGGAAGATACAAACACTTTTTATGAAGAAAGTAAGAGGTTACAGCACGATCGCCACTGGCTTCTATTCTTAGCCATATCTGATAACGTCTCTAGCCACTGCGTTACACCGTCTCTCGGACTCCAACCAGGGAGTCGTGAAGGACCAACAGAAGCTAGCCCTTTGCAGCTTTCTTTCATACCACGACACCATGTCATATACTGACCATCTCTCCGCTTTTTCCAACCAGTCCCAGAGTCGGCAAATAATGCACGATGAGGAATTCTCTGGGACGACATTCGTAGAACATGTCCAAGTCACCGAAGTCAGTGTTTCAAGATGGTGACACCAATTTCATTATCGTCTCTGTGCCCGAACACACGATGCCAAACCTCTGCATTACTGACATGGTGTTGCCACTGGATGCCAGCAATCCTTCGGAGACAACGATGATCGAACACAGAGAGTCGTCTAACATCCTCAACTCGGAGAGGCCAGGTTTCACAAGCATAGAGCAAAACTGCTCTCACCGTCGCGTTGTAGATCCGACCTTTTACAGCCAGACTAACATCACGAAGGCGCCAAAGATGGCCCAGATAGGTTGTTTTAATTATGATGTGTGAGACTAATCATTATCAGTGTCAGTTGAAACCTATTAAATTATTGAATCGGCATTTTAAATGTCAGAAATATATTGTTAGGTCAAATTCGTCTATGAGTTACATCATTAATACCTATTTATTTACAATATTGGAGAGAGTTAAGTGATCTAAACACTCAGTTAATATCGTTAATTCACGTATGCTTATAAGTTTATTACTCAGGGAAAAAATAATAAACCATCTTAACACGAGAGTACTGTAGAAACAAAATATATTAACCCACACATTTTATCCAGTCTGTGAAATCATTGAGAGTAGTGTCGAAACACGTAGGTAGGTGCAGACTACCTAGTTGAAGTTAATGTGATTGTCGTTACCTAGGGTTAGAGATACTGAGTAATACGGCTCAGAACTGGTCACAATGACGCATATGCATTTATTCTTTGTTTACCCTTAGATAATGAGTTTCAGAGTTATTTTATACCTACTATCATTCCTTCCTCTCAAATTATCTCTATGCCTAACCCTTTTTGCTGCCAATAGTGGCGTTGCTACTCTCCTACTATACTGGCATCTATCCTGACAAAATCACCTCACAGTTTTGATATGGTGTGAAAACTTGAACCAATGGATACATGTCCCAGGTTCTAAGTCGTTCGTGACCAACTGACTGTTCAAATGATATCCTCAATATTCACAAGAACACTTCTACTGATATTTCACGTAACGAACATATCAGTAAAAAGCACCAAAAAGTTTATGGTTCACTAACTTCCAAGCCGAAATAACCCTATATAATCTGGTTAGGTCTGTTACTGCATAGTGATCAACTTCAAAATATTCCACATCAATCTAAAACAGCACATCGAAATTTAACTATATTTATCACACAAATGATGTGGGTATTAATTCTTTTATACACAAAGAACGTATGAGTTCCGAATTCTATGTAGCATTATTAGTGTTGGTGAACGAAACACATGTGATTATTTGGAAGTCTAAATAAACTAACTATTGAATAAAAGTTTATTTAATCGACTTTTTAGTTATACTTTTTTACGGGGACCAGTGAGTTATTGTTGTCATCTATTCAAAATGAAGTACAGTGGAACTGAATTCCCCATAAATAATTCTCTAAACCTATCCTCTTATATTTAAAAACGCTTTTAATACCGACTATTTCACAACAAAAATTTACTTTATAATAAATTTTGTTAGACAATAGAAACAAATAACAGTGATAAACTCTTAAGCAGCAAGAAATATAAACAATCACTATTTTATCTTACCTACAGACAGAATCAAATGCATTCAGATCGACTGCTGTTTCACCAAGCAGACTTGATGTAGGATTCGACAATAACTCCAATGAATCATTTTTATCCAATACCGATATCGAATCTTTCACATAATTCATCATGGACATTCCCATTTCAATTTGTGAACACAATAATTCATGTATATTTAAAATACAAGCCTAACAATTATTATTTTATTTGAAAAAAAACAAGGGCAAAAATGACTACATGCAGAAATAATACAAAATTATTTAATAACTTTATTTAATCTACACAAGAACCATTTGAAACTCGACAGCTAGATGTACCTGTATTCCAGAATTGATATTCACTCCGAAACTCGAACCCGTTACCCTTTCGCGTTAAACCCCATAGTGTTACTCACTTAGCTGCCTAGTCTAGGTAGTCACTCACTTCTGCAACGAGTGAGATTTGATTCAACTTGAAATAGTTCGGATTATCCCATTCCAAATAGGACAAGATGTGTATCCTGTATCCCACTGCTAACCGAATTTTATCTATGCTATATTATCTTGTGTCATAATAGCTATGTAAAGGTAACCTGCACAGGATTCCCATATGTCAACCAAAATTGATCGAACTGTAATGAAAAATATCAACAACCGGATAATCTAAACCATTTTAAACTGAAGAACAATAGTTGTGGGATAAAATGAATTCGTTAGTCAATTCGCAATGCTTCTCAGCCACCCCAAATGCCCTGGTATGGCCGAGAGCGGAGTGGATTCGCCCTCCCTCTCGAAATACTCTCACACGGCCACGTGTATACAGCCTCTGCCAGGGAAGTCCTACTCACTGCCTTCTCGCACCTTCTCGTGGAGGGGGTGTTGTTTACGAAAATGAGAGGACGAAAAGCGAATGTCTGGCGCTTTAACCGGATCGCAAATCAATGATGCACATGGGCTCCAGTATCCTACGGGAACAAATGGCGTATGAACCCATTTCTTGGTCACCGGCTTCCATGGGACTGCATCTCCTCACGATGCTCCACTGCCTTGTGGGTTAGACCTTTAGGTCGAAGGCTCGATGCGTGACCCCCTAAGAAGACCACCTGCTTCGGTCTGGGCACCCGGGCAGTATCGCAGCTCACACACGAAAAACATGATGAGTGTGGCGCATATATACTTGGTGCCCCCTTTTACCAATATTTATATGTTCAAATAAATAAAAAGACAAATATTTGACATATTTTTAGTTATGTGAAGTATAGATGAATGTTTAAAACGGAACCAAAAATCATGAACAGATGAATTTGGACAAAAATCATGTGATTTAACACGGTTAAAACTGATGTGAATTTATATGTTAGAAAAACAGTAATACAGAGCAGAGGAGGTAATGTTATGGTTACTATTAATCATAATTAAGAGAAAAAAGGACTATGCAATCCTAATGAAAGTAATAAATGATTGGACAGATTATCAACAAAGTTAGAACCAATATTAAATTAATATACAGACACCAACAATATTACTTAGGAATAGATCATGTTGGAAATGTTTGATAGCTATTACTTTTGTTAGAAAGGAGAGGAATCACCGTTAGTTGTTTGAAAATCGGTTTGAATTTTTACTGACGTACGCACTATGTCTAGTAACTATTAAATGCCCGGCGATGAAACTTGTGAAAACCTTTCTGTCATTCAGATGAACATTTCTGGATGCGTGTTTGAAAATCGTATCCCTTTGTTTCTTGATTTTTAGTTTCGTTTTGGACATCTAACTTAACTACACTATCTAAAGCAAATCAAACCTTTATTTATAATTAGACTATTCCTCGTAATTTTATGCTATTTACAGTGTATAAGAAGCCTTAAAACAGACTGATGAATTCATTTTACTTAGTGAATTTCGTTCTTCTTACAATGTTTACAGTTTATTAATGTATGAGATACCTTTATTTTCTCTTTGGCTTCTTTATACGCTTGTAACCGAGCTACTTCCATACGACAATTCAGTAGTTCAATATTCGCTTGCTGTGTAGCCATCTTCTGGTTATTTAATTCAACTTGCAATTCGGCTAGTTTTTTCGCTAATGAAGCATTATTAGCACGAAGAGAGGTGGCTGAAGTGAAGGATTGATTGACTGTCGAAGAAAATAAAAATCACAAGTAATCAAGAGGAAGAAAGTGAACAAAACACAGTTAACCTCATTGGTATCTACCTTACTAACAAAGTCGGAAGGTAAGCATAATAATAATAATAATAATAATAATAATAATAATAATAATAATAATAATAATGTACACGGTCGGGGAGCTCTACATAAGGATGGAACAGATATTCAGAGATCATTGGTTTACAACAGTTATCTAACTGAAGTCAGTTCACGATAATTCCCTGAATCATAATTAAGGGTACCTGATTTATCAAATGAAAGTTCATATATTCAGTTCCGAGTCAAAAACTGTCTTTTTTATCATAAGTTAGTGAGATGAAAATAACCGGCTACTAAACTAAAGCAAATAAAGCGATTCAGTGTTAATCATTAAACCATGTCTTTAAATTTTGCAAAATGTCTTAACGACCTCAAGCTATGAAGATCCACAACCTTATAAACTAATTTTTCGCCTTTGCCTAGCGCTCTATTCCTAACATCAACGCTAATCACTGCTATTGAATGATACGCGGATAATTACATATGAAATAAGACTAAGGGTAGTCAAACCAAGATATGAAGATAATGACTTTTGGACTGAGTCATGTGAGTGGGTAACTGGAGACTATCTTATTGAAGTCGAAATGGTTATTTTAACTAATGGTTAGATACATGAGGTAATATGGCTCAAAATCCTCAATAGCATATGGACATCCACTGTCTTCCGTTAGATCCTAAGTTTCAAGGTCTTATAAATTTACTTTTATTGCACCAATCCACGTATTTGCATCACTAAAAAAATCAGAAAGGTCGATGGAAGACGTGAGAACAGAGAGGAACTGACATAGTCTCATATCACCACCTAGTGGTTTTCAAGATGACACGTAGACTAAATAGGCACTGTAAAACTGGAAAAACAGCATTACAATGGTCCAATACAGCTTTACTGTGAGATACTGAAAAAATTCAACGAATTCAAGATAGCTTGTCGAAACAGAATCAAAGCCTTACAATGTCTACTCATGGAAGAGGAAGCTACTATGGAGAACAAATGGAAAAGGATAGACCTTATTTGAAATCACACTTGTACATTATCTTCCATCAATCCTAATGATTTCAAGTTAACTTATTATGTTTTCTCATTGCCTATAATATTTTCTAAGTGCATCAACATTTCTCCAAACTTGGATTCCCAGTAAAATAAGCGTTTAAGGGATTACAATTTAAAGTTTTGGGCTGTGGTTCTAACAATACATACCCGCAAAAGTTTATTAGGAATGTCCGGATTGATACATTAGTATTGTCAGTTTACGAAAAACACTGACAGAACTGAGGTAATCGGTCGACACTTACCTGATTTCTGCAGTAATCTTCTTGAGGTATTTAATAACCCCCTATTTCGCATGATTCTAACACTGTCATTGAGTTGTGGTTTCTTTGATTTACGAAAAGTGATACTGATATGTGGTCTTGGACCACTCATTATAAAAATTTCAAGTTAAACAAGTAGCAAGGTTGTTGGGTCATTTAAATTTCATGTGATATAAATAAACCCAAAGGCAGTTTTCAATATCAAATAATTAATATCTTCATAACCGATGAGTGAAAACCATCCAATTTCTTGATATTTGTATTTTTTGCTAAAGTATGGTTTTCTGTTTTTGGTATTGTCCAATGAAGGTAGTCTAGAGGTATAAGAGAATTAATTTTAATGAACTTCAATTGGTTCGAATGACTGTAGACGGAATAGAAGAAGCTTTCGCTTAACGGGCTTCCATTTGTAGTAGCAGTAAATCACCAATACCTTCAGGCAGGAACCTATATATATTAACGATAATATAGGAAAAAGAAATTGGTAAATTATAGTAAGACACTATCATTGGTCCTTAAGGATATTTCAGGTTTTCTCTTAATGGACTCCTGGGAAGTCGCTCAGACTAGCTCATCCGGCAGCGAATTCAGGTATTTGACCCCTCTTAAGAAGTAGAAGTTGTGTCTACAGTCCGTTCTGCTGTGTTGTGTCTCCAGTTTCTGGGTGTCATACCTCAGGTTTGTGTTGGATGTCCAGAAGTATTAAGGATGTTGTAAGACATTAGAAGGTAACCTCTAAGATGCCAGTATTCTAATGGGTAAACTTTTAGTGACTAGAAGCGCTTTTTATAAGGCTTGAATTTGAGTTCCCGAACTGATTTCTTGGCTCACCGTTGGATACGTTCCAGAGTGCCCCTATCCTTTTGAAGTAAGGGAGGAAATGTTATGCTTCCGTAATCTAAAAAGAGTCGAATAAAACTTTTGAAGATTATATGGAAAGTTCTTCCGTCAAATTGGCCAAAAATGCGCTTCAATGTAACCAGTGAAAGGTTTGCTCGAAAGGCATTTTTGTCACAGCGTAAGACTGGAAACTTATTTGGAGGTTAACATGTCCTGGGAAAAATGAAAAAAGAAATTTTTGGATATCCTGACTATGCATCTACTAACTTTTCGAATATGGGCCTAAAAAGAAAACCCCTATAATCTGTAACTGCAGATTACTTGAATTGTTGTCAATATTTTAAGAAAATCAGATTATTTCATAGATGGTAAAGAAGATTTGTAGATTAGTGGATAATTTTGCTGGTCTTGTTCTCTGGGCTGAACTGTTTGGTTCTGGAGCTTTCGTCGTTCTTTTTGACGTCATCAGAACAAACTCCAGGTTGAAGTGAAGTGTTTGAATTTACCCAAATATTTTCAGATTAAGTTTACAGATTTGTGAGGTATGTACGGAAGGTATATGGGCTATGTTATTCCTTACCCAGTGTCTAGTCCTCTCTTAAATGAGTTAATTGAACGTGCAGACACCACTGCTGCGGGTGACAGGCTCCAAGAAATGATGACTCGATGTCACGTGTATTTTGTTCTTTCTTAACTTTTCTATTCGCCTTCTATGTCCCCTGAAATGTTTCGATCTAGTGGTAAGAAAAAAACATATATATTAGGTCTCAAACGATTTCCTAATATTTGATACGTCAAAATTAGATCACCTCTTTATCTGTGGTAGGACAGAGTAGAGAGGTTTTGCTATTCAAGCCTCTCTTTGTATGGTCAACCCTGAAGTTTTGGAATTGCACATGTAGCTACTTCCTGTATCTTTTCCAGGATATCCGAAGCACCTTTTAAACAAGGACTTCCTGCCTGCACATAGTTTTCAAGCTACGTTCTTACCAAGGTTGTTTATACTGTGGTGAACTTGGCAGTATTCAACTTGGGTAATGTCCGTCTTAAAACCCAGAGGGCTCTGAACCCATTAGCTGCAATCTTCAAGCAGTGCACCGTTGTCTTAAGGTTATGACTCACCGTCATCCTAAAATCCTTGTGAGGCCGGACCACAGGCACAGGCACGTCCCTTTTTTGTAACTATTTACCTTCGTATCCAAAAAGTGCTTGTAGACACACTTGGCCGTGATGATAGGCATCAGCCACTTTTAAGACTAGCTAACTAGAATATTTAGGTGTGCCTGAAGTGCACGTTCATCTGCGTTTCCCTATATTTCTCGCCAGGTTTCTTACGTCATCAATGTGTAGTAGCACTGAGGACTCAAATATAATTGGAAGTTCATCTACATACAGTATGAAAAGTAAATAACCTAGGACAGAGCCTTTCCGTATTTCACCAAGTACTGGTTCCAGAGTGAAGCATTTGGAATTTTTTATTACTTTCTGTTAACGACCTAAAATGAGATCCTTAAGCCATTCTAGGTGAGGTCTGGCAATACCTGAATTTTTTCGTTTCAAAAGAAGTCTATTTGTTAGCACCGTATGAAATGCTTCGCTGAAGTCTATGTAGACAACATCCAGTGGTTTCCATTATCTACAGCCTCAGTCAATTGTTTCGTTGCTATCAAGAAAGACAGTGGAATCAGTACGTCAGTAGCCCTACCAGACATCAATATATAATGGACTTAGTCCTTACCAGTGGCCTCACCCTCAATACTGTGCATATCGGAAAAACGTTTCCAGGTAGCATTCATAATCTTGTCATATGTAGCCTTAATATAAAAACCATAACCGGTAGACGTAAAAATGTAACACTATGTAGCATCTACCTCAAGGGCGATTAGAGAAAGTTCCAGAATTATCTAGGAAGCAAGGATCAAGGAACCTTCTTTACTGTAAACAGTACTGACACATTGATTAATATATCCTAACACAACACTAGAAATATCTTCAACAAAATCACCTCTAAAATACAGGAGACCTAAGCTTTCTAAAGATCTATATATACCGATCTCTACGTGAAGATGTCTTTAAAGACGTTGTACTCGGTTCCAAAACATTATTAACTTTGCCTCTTTGGTCACAATGACAGAAATATTTGTTCAGGCAGAGGCAATACGTACAAAAACAGTCACTTAAGGCAAACGTGCTATCGAACATAATGACTTTTCCGCACTCATCAGACTCCTCTAAAATAAACTCAAACTTTCTAAGTTGAAGGGAGGAACCATATTTATTAAGGACGAACAAGTAAACGAGGATCCTAAACTTGTTACCGAACACTTTTGTTCCACAATAACTAACGAAAAACAATTAAAAGAATGGGGACCAATTTTAGTACCTTCCTGTGAAATTACTAATGTCGACTTCAATATAGAGAATATCTTTAAAGCAATTAGTACACTGAAGCACTTCAATACTGACAGACCGGATGGTATTACGGTTAGCATGCTCAAAAGTGGAGTGATGATCAAAATGTTTCACTTCCTGAACTATTTGATAAATCAATCTCTACAGTGTGCTACCTTACTTCCTGGAAATCTGCACATATCGTTCCCAAAGCTAAGACAGCACCTGAAAATTATAGGCCATTAACATAATCTCTGTGGTATCTAGAGTGATGGAAAAAGTGGTAAAGGCGGCAGTAGTTCAATATTTGCCTACTAATAACATCATTTCGGCCCCCCAGTATGGGTTTTTTAGGTCTAGATCATGTGATACATGCCTAGTAAACTACTTGAATAATATAACTCTGAAACGAAACAACGGACTCCTTGTACCAGTCTTATTCTTAGACTTTAAGAAACCTTTCGATAAGGTCCAACACAAAAGGCATCTCGTCAAATTAAAGTCCTTAGGAACCATCAACCCACCATATTCATGGTTCGCTTCATTCTTTACAGGGCTTAAACAAATGGTAAGGTACAATAACTTTCACTCATCACCTAGACCGATAAATAGTGGAGTCATCCAGGGAAGTGTATTAGGTCCACTCTTGTTTCATATGTATATAAACAATATATGTAACACCATAAATTTCGGCAGACCATACTTATACGCTGATTATCTCAAGCCCCCTCGAGTTATGCCACTGAAAACACATATGGAACGAGTGGCTTCGTCCCGCACCATCATTAATGCCTCATGTGTTCCGGAGGAATATGACGTTGCGGTTTCTAGAAGCTTTCAACTTTACATGGATTTATTGACAGTTCATTCGTACGTGGGTAGTGTTATTCCCCATATGACCATGGTGACTTATAAAATATCAACCTAACTGAGAAACGTTCTATAGTGAAGACTTTATGAAACGACCGAACTGCCAGTATTCGGTTAGAACGCAGGACTGACGAACCAAAATGTATTCGAATAGGCCAGACTACGTTCTTCTGTATAGCGTACGAAGCGTTTTTGAGATACTCGTATTCAATTATATCAAAACAAAAATTCTGTGCTCAATTTAAACAGTTCTAATTTAGAAAATAGAACAAATTACATCAAAAATACAAAATACCTCAAACGGTACAGCCTGTGCTATACAGTCAAAAGTTTCTCTAACGCAAAGTAGCTCACTAAACAATAAAAGAAACAGTAATACCAAGGGTTTCGATACCTGTGAATCAATAAAAATATTCCCAACAAGATGCGATCAAATATCTGTCTGCAGGGACTCCAGCAGTCCTCCCAAGCAGATAGTCAAAAGGTTAACAGTCACACACTGAATCACGCCGTGACCTTGAGCTCAGTCAAACACGAACTCACTGTCAATAGTCCGGCAACATGCAATAGAAAATTAGGTAACGAAAGAGAAGTGTTTAATCAAAATCACATAATAAAGGCTCAAACGAGGAAGACTGAAGTACAAAAGGTGTGATTGAATGAGATCTGAATAAAGGTTAAAATACACGACAGGGAGAAGAAACAAGTAAATGACAGTACTGTTCAACAAAAACTCTGTGGAGGGATTTTCAGAGTTCTCTTTTCATTACACTGTATCTTCTGTAACAATTTGATGTTGACTGTAAAGTGGCGCGCTCCATATAACAGACTGTTATTTAAGAATAAATTATGATTATTTTCACACGTTATGCAAGACAAACCCCTTTGGAAACCGCGTTGTTCGCTGTCATTATGGTCTTTTTGATTATTCTTCCCAGTATTTTAACTACAACGCTGGTGAGGCTGACAGGTCTGTAATTTGATAGTTTTCTCGGTCCTACTTTGAGTATT